AGTATGAGATCTGGTAGGTGATGTCAATCAGACAGGCACCGATGACAGTGCGGTTGACAAGCAGACCAATGTTGAGGAACGGCGTCGGGGCCAGCAGCCACTCGTGAAGGCCGAAGAGTACCAGGATGAAAGCACCGACAACGATCATGGTGATAATGTAACCTGACTTCCAGCCGTTGGGCGCCGATTCTGCCAGCGTGAACGGAAGCAGGAAGACAGTCAGACCAGCCGCGAACAGGAACACGCCCAGAAAGTCAAACTCAGCTAGGTAGAACCAAACGTTTTGCGACAATGTGCGGCCGCTAGGTTCGCGGATCAGCATGCCCTGTCTCTTGGCCTTGCGCAAGTTGAGCTTAAGCAGGGCGAAGAGTGGGAGAGCGACGATGGGCAGGATAATACAAAATGTACCGAAGCCCCAGCGCCAGCTGATGTAGTTGTAGAAGTCGTCAGAGGCCTTGGGGCCCGCAAAGGCGGTGATGATGTATGGCGACGAAGTGAAGGCGTATGCCAGGGCCCGGGACTTGAGACGCGAGGCATCAGCGGTAATAACGTCGATGCTGTACGTCATGCCACCGAAGCCAATGCTGTAGAACACCTGGGCAGCGCAGTAGGTGGGCAGGCTGTTGCTGGTGGCCATGAGGACCAGCCCGAGCGTGGCGAAGAAGATCATAACTGCAAAGCCCTCGGCACGGCCCCACAGATCAAGCATCTTGGCCAGAGGGATGTACATGGCGGCGGTCATTGCGTTGGCCACGATTCCGATGACGGTCAAGAGTGAATGCGACTGGAAATCACTGGTCACGTACGGCGTCAGGTTGTAGAGGATGGAGGCCTGGAACGCGTTGACAAAGTACAAAAGGAACATGCTGTTGAAGGAGTCAGCAATGATCAACCAAGCGAGCACCAGAATGAATTAGCAGGGCGCCTCTTCCCACGCACAGAATGAAGACGGCGATCAGAGACGGTCTGGACCAGGTGAGGGTCACGGCCTCGACGTCCTGAACACCGGCCTGGGCCGTCTCGGTCGGCAGGTCCCCGGCATCCTTGCGTGGCAGGTCATCGGCTTCTAGATCCACGTTGGTCGGTACAATCGTAGCAGGACTGGCTGTCTTAGGCTCATCTCCAGCGATTTTCGCGTTAACGGAGGTGGACGTGGCATCTGCCGGCACAGCCTCAGGTTCCGAGAGAGCGGTCGTATTGTAGCGGAATTTGGGAAGGCCCATGGTTGAAGTATTTACGGCGTCTGGCTCTTGTTGTGGAAAGGTAAACAAAGAAGGGCTGTGTGAGTGGCTGATGCCGGGATGGATGTGGAAGAAAATCAATCCCAAGGAGGCTACGGGAGGGACGACAAGCAGGAATACAAACGTGCTCTTATATTTCCAACACAACTAATTTCGAACCAGAGAATAGCGTGACAGGAGGATGCACACAACGGAGCAGTAAATATGACTAGCTTGTGCTTGGGATACGAGCACACAGCATCTCCGAGCCAAGGTCCGACAAAGCTCTAGACGCAGGCATCGGACGACGAACTAGAGCAAAAACCTTGCAATGTTGAAAGAAAAATATCCCCCAAAAGCGACTAACATTGACCATGCACCTCCAGTCCTTGCCCTACTAGCCGAGACCTAAGACTCTGCAGCTGGTTGCCAGGAGTGGGGGAAGATGGCCGCCCGATCCACGTTTATTCGCTTGTCGACGCAATTTATGCTATCGTTATCCATCTATGCTATCAGATCTGATTAGATAGGAACATGCAACGTACTGGCAGGCGAAGAAGACTTAAGAGCCTGAAGTAGACATTCATAGAGCTGCCAAGATCTCTCGCTGTGGGCCTGGAGGAGCTCGCCAGTGCTTGGTGCTGGTGACACGGCCAATGAATACCTGGTCGTCGTCGCAGGATTTGTCTTGGCAAACAGAATTATGACAAAATTCCCTACTGGGAAAGAATTGCAAAGCTAAGCCGGCAATATCTGCCGTGGCAGAGGCATCCAGCCGAGAACAGCAGGATGACCAAGCCAGAGCGACATGTTACAGTAGTCTTGACAGTCGCTTGACCAGCCAAGTAAGTATGGAGACGGCGGTACCATGTGGGTGATGAGGACGTTACCGGCGGCAAAGTGAGGCCGGGCTCTCGCATGATGTGCTTGTTCGTACGCAAAGTACTATGATATTGTCACTGCTGATTTTCTTTCTTTTGTAAATCTGCAATTGTTAGTCACAAAGGATACCCGACATGGTCGTCAAATCCGGGGGATACCATACCTCCCAGAGAGCCGTGAGGGACATTTTCGTATTTCCATGACCGAAATGGATTCCACAGGGCGAACCACAGCCATTTCGACACAAACTCATCCTTACGTACTACTAGCAATCGTACACAATTATCAGATGGGAAAAGAAACAACAGGAACCATTTGCAACCAGTCTGTTGGCCCATGCCGGACTGCCGGGTTTCGACTTCAGAGCAGCTTAAACCTTCCGTACTCATGTCCCTATTTGTCTAGTCGAGCAACCATACCGAAATGGAAGGCAAGAAACTATCAGGGAAAGTTCTGTTCCGATGCCGCTTCGTTCCCGGAACGTGACGAATTCAAAACTACTTCAAATGTCTCCGCTCTGAAGGTGGACGTTCTCTCTTTTTTCTCCTGCCCCCACATGCCATGCCAGGACAGGTCAAGGACAGATAAAATCACCCACAACTTGCCGAATGAAGATGGTGGGCACGCGTAGGTTGCCAAGACGAAAAGTGAGAAACGATGGATTTTTGACGACCACTGAAGTTGAAGCGCTCCTCACTTGTCCGCGGGCCGACCTTGGCCGCGGGAAATTTACATAAATTTGAGACTCGGAAGAGAGATACACGACTTTCTTCACCTGAATATATTCCCTGTCGTTGTCGCATCAGGTGTGTCCCCCGTGCTATCTTTATTTCCTCAACACGTCGTATGTTGTTATCAGATTGATTAAGGGAGCCTGGCCATGTTGTTAGGGGCTTTTAGGGTCTTTAGGGGCATTTTTGGTGACTTGGCGTGCCCCATTCGTGGCGTTTGACAGTTATCAGATGGCTAAATAAAGTGGGTCGCAGGGGAAGCAGCGCATTAGTCCAAATACGAGGCTCTCATGTCTACTGTCAGAATAGGCATATGGTGAAGCGGCCGCACCTTCCGTGCCGAAATATTCAGTCGTCCAAGGAGACTCCCTTTTTATTTTCTGATACAGGCAACACAACTGTGCCACGAACCTCCGCCGATTCAGACGGCTTGCAGAGGAAGCTTTGTATAGTTCACGCCGGGGAGGTCATTGCCAAGTCTATTTCTATTGTTTGGTATCCGGGCATATTGCAGGCATGCCTGAGCCCCTTCCCTAGAACACCACCGTGAGATCAAACTCTCCTGTGGTGTTCTTCTCAACGACGCCCTTCTCCGTCACAATCACATCGATCAGCGCGTGCGGTGTCACGTCAAACGCCGGGTTCCACACGTCGATGCGCTGATCTGCCGTCGCCACGCGCACCGCCGGCTGCGACAGGTCCACCTTGCCATCCGCCCCAACCACAGGGCCTGTCACCTGCGTCAACTCCTCGCGCTTACGCTCCTCAATCTTGATCTGAGCACCCGTCGGCGTCTGCAGGTCAATGCTGGTCGTCGGCGCTGCCACGACAAAGCGGATGCCGTGGTGGCGCGCCAGCACTGCCAACTGATACGTGCCAATCTTGTTAGCCGTGTCGCCGTTGCGCACCACCCGGTCAGCGCCGACGACCACGGCGCGGATGTTGTGTGAATCCTTCTTGAGCGCAAACAAGGCGGCTGCCATCGAATCCGTGATGAGCGTAGACGGAATCTTCTCGTACACGAGCTCAAACGCCGTCAGCCGGCTGCCCTGGTTGTACGGCCGTGTCTCTGTGCAAAACGCGTGGAGAAGAGCATCGCGGGCGTGCAGCGACCGGATGATGCCGAGTGCCGTGCCGTGGCCGGACGTAGCGAGCGAGCCTGTGTTGCAGTGCGTGAGCACCGAGATCTTGTCCGAGCCAGCCGCGCCAGATGCAGACGTAGAGCTGCCCTGCTTCAGCAACCAGTCCGCACCATGGTTGCCAATGGAGAGGTTGGACTGCAAGTCGCGCTGCAGGATCGCCTCCGCCGCCGCCACGTACGCATCAACGACCGCCGCCTTGGCCGGCGCGTCGTCCAGTCCCGCCACCTGCACGCTGCGCACTTCTTTCTTCAGGAGAGTGATGGCGTTCGCCAGGTCCACGGCCGTCGGCCGGCTCTCCAGCAAGTAGTCGAGGCGGCTGTCAATGTAGGACACGGCCTCTTGTGCCGACGCGCCAATCTTCGTCTGGGTATCAGCCGCGCCAAGCTCAACAGCAAGCGCCAAGCTGGCCACAATGGCAATTGCCGGCGCGCCACGCACGCGCATCGAGCGAATGCAGTCGAAGGCTTCGGAGCTCGTCGAAACGGCATCGTAGTGGTGCTCGTGCGGCAGCCGCAGCTGGTCGAGCACGTCCAGCGAGCCCCGCGTGTAACGGATGGCCTCGAGCGTTCCAGACATTGTGTTGGGCTTTCTGGATTTACTAAAGCCGGTCGAGGGAGAAAGAGGGGAGCAACGGTGTAAGATTGGGAGGGGGGGTGAGGGTCTGTCGCGCCTTTCCGTTGTTCTTCGCTCTTTTGTAGTCGACGTTGTGGCGCAAGATGCCATCATTTATTCTGCCACCTGCCCCGCTACGGTATGGTTGTCGTAAATGTACGTTTGACGCTGCGCTGAGATCCAATCACTGTCTCATGTGGTCCCTCACCGCCTTCCTCTTCAAGAGCCCCTAATGACGTGCCGAGCGTGCGCCTACCCTGAAAGGCAAGCTGGCCCGTGCCCCATCCACAGCTCCCTGAAACCCGTTTATGTCAGGCTACATTTGTTGAAAGCTTCAAGCTTTGCTTCACCATGCGCATCGTCGCATCCACCTCGTCCACCCTTGCACCACCAAACGCTCCCTTCCCGCCACCATGGAGCAGCCCTTCTCGACATCCAAGGTGACTGTCGAGTATCACGATCCGCATGGCCTCTATCGACTGATCGCCCCAGGGCTGCTCGCTCGGCTGCCCCTGAGACACCTGCACTGGCAGTCGCACTCGGGGCCGCTGCGGTCCATCGACACCCTGCACGTCGAGCTGGTGCCGGCCGAGTCGAATCCTACCGTCACAGGACCGGCAGCAGCTACTGCGCAGATTCAACCCGGCCCCAGTGGTACCACGGATGCGTCGACGGCCGACGACGGCTTCCAGACCGCAACCGTCGGGGGCCGTCAAGGCTCGCTCGAGTCGACAACGACAACCACCTCGAATGCCCCCTCGTCCTCCACGCCACGGCCGCCCGAGCGACGCCATCAGATCCCCGGCTTGCGCCGCACACCCTACCTCAAGCTGCTGCTCGTGCGCTGCGACGACACCGACACCTACAAATCACAGACGCGCTCCGAAATCCGCGATTGGGTCAAGAAGAACACCAGCCCTGCCTCGTCCGGCAGCAGCAACCGCAAGGCAAGCATCGCGCCTCTCGAAAACCACGATGCCTTTGACTGGATGATTGTGCACGTCGTGCTGCCCAACTCGCCCGCCTACAATCAGCCCCGCACCAGCAAAGCCAGCGGCGGCGGCGACGGCACGGGCAGTGACAGCGCAACCACCAAGACCACGTCCCGCTGGGGCAAAAACTCGTCGACGCTGTTGGAACGGCTGCGTTCTGACTTCAACACGGCCGCTGACTCGAAGAGCATCAGCAGCGGCGGGGCTCCGGCGTCGTCAGCTGCCATCGATCGTGTCTCCCAGATCCGCGTTGGCGTCGACGATGTGCCCTACGAGCTCCTCCCGCGAGTGCAGTCCACCGGCAGCGGCACCACACCCCCTACTGGAGGCTACGTCGAGTCTGAGCGCGAGGCACAGGCAGCCTGGGCTGACGTTGTGGGCAAGCTGAAGAGCCGCATCCTCGCAAGCTTTGACGTGCGTGTGTCGCAGTACGAAGACGATATCCGCGAAAAAGATGTGCAGCGGACCCTGCCAGGCTGGAATTTTTGTACCTTCTTCATCCTCAAGGAAGGCTTGGCTCGCGGCTTTGAGAGCGTCGGCCTCGTCGATGATGCACTGGTCGGCTACGATGAGTTGAGCGTCGGCTTGGACACGGTTATACAGGAGCAGCATGCATTGACGGCGAGCACTCTCCTCAGCTTCACAGATGACCTCAAGAGTGCAGCTCTCAAAGCAATCCGTGGGGATGACGCAGACGAGCCTGTCAATCTTCAAGCAGCGGACTCTGCTACCCTAGCCATACCCATCAGCGCCACCAAAAAGCCCTACCGCGACCTCATCCTCGCCAACAATGTATCTGTCTTTGACTTCCGCTGCTACATTTTCGCGCGCCAGATTGCCCTACTGCTGCGCCTCGGCAATGCATGGGTCACGCGTGAGGAGCTTCTCACCAAGCTGCAGGAACAACAGGAGGCCACAATGCACTTCACTCCGGCCGCCGCCGCAACTCACGTCGCATCCTCGTCCTCTTCGTCGCGCAGCGACCCCGAAAACCTGCCCATGCTGGCCGAAATCTGCCGCCGCACTCTTGAGTTTGTGCCGGCCGTGTCACAGGTCATGCGCGAAGACCTACTTTTTTCGCTAGCCAGCGAGGGCGAGCCTCTCCTCCCATCATCCCGGCAAGTCATAGACAACATGGTGGCCTCGTTCGCCTTTTCTATTGCCCAGCAGATCCTGGCGCAGACGTCCACAACCGCACTTCCCATTCCTCCGTCCTCCATGTCTCTCGCCTCCGACAATGGCCAGGAGCCCAAAGTATCCATTCCGGAGCCGAAGACAATGATGCACCCTGCGCGTACGTCGTCCCTAGAAACACGGGGTCATCAGGTGGGAGCCGGGATGGGAGGCCGGGCGCCCCCCAGTCCAGGTATCTTCCCCGGCCCGGGCCAAACTCAGCCGGCAGCTCATGATGCAGAGGAAACACGCTTCCTCAAGGCTGGCCTGGAGGACCTGGCCGCGCGTCGCGCAGACCTCTACATGCTGGCGCGCAACATTCTGCTAAAGATCGGCGAGAAGCGTGGTTGGTCGGACGGCTGGCCGACCGCGCCCATTCTGTCAGAGTTGGTCGACAACCACGACCGCTTGGAAGAGGTCAGTCTCGATGACGACACTAACTCGGGCGCGCCTGTCTCTTCGTCTCGTTCGCCACCCTCGCCCACCTCCCCTTCCGTATCCAACGTTGTTGCAGGCGTTGATGATCTGCTCTTGCGCACTGCAGTTGAGTCCGACACCAACTTCTTCCGCATGTACGAGGTTCTCACCGACAAGGCCCTGCGCCACTACACAGTCGCCGGCCACACACATGCAGTGAACGCAAACTTCGCCGACTTGGCCGTCCTCAAGTATCACCTTGCTGACTACGCTGCCGCCGCTGCAAACTTCTATGAGACTACCCCCTTCTTTGGCGAGAACAGCTGGAACTTGCTCGAATTGTCCATGCTCCTTATGTATGCGCGTTGCCTCAAAGAGTTGGGCCACAATGACGAGTATGCATGGCGTCTGCTAAAGTTTCTGGTCAAAGCTGCCGACGCAGAACGCCAGCGTCTTGAGGAACGGGCATCGTTTGGGCGCGTGAAGCACCTCACAGAGAAGCACCAGGACACGAAGCAACCGCCTATCTCTGCGGTCCAGGGCTGCCTTGCGGACCTCCTCTCCGCATCTACATCTGTGTCTGGCGAGATGCGTGTCCCATTGACCAACTTCTTCTGCGTAGTTGCCGTTGATGGTCCACCCGTTTTCGCCGATCGTGAAGACAGCTTTTCCGTAACTCTGCGCCTAGATAGTCTCTTGGTTGACGCCCTGCCAGTCGATTCAGTCAGGGTTCGCTTAACGCAGACCTCAAGTCGTGGCCAGGCCCGCGAGATTTGGCTGGAGACCACAGATGTCTGCACTCTCGCCCCAGGCACGGGTCGCGTCCAGCTCCACAGTCGCACTATTGTTCCCGGCATCTACACCATCGACCAAATACGCATTGCCAGCAAAAACCTCGTCTTATTCCACGACCATGACGAGACCCACACAGTACAACGGCTGTCGAATGTCGGGGCCACCACAGCGTCTGCATCTTCCGCATCCACCTCCTCCAACAACAAGAACATCCTCGCTGAGCCACACCTTGTCCTCTACCAGCGGACCGATGCCCTTGACGTACAACTGTCCACATCCAAAGATCTGCAGCTCGACAAGAACAACTTCCTTGAACTGGCCCTCATCACTGGCTGGAATGACATCCAGCACTGCGAAATGCACATTCGGGCAGCGACAGGCGGTTTGCGGCTGATCACCACCGAAGCCAAGGTGCTCGGATCTACCGGCCACACGTTTGCCAAACCCGTCGAGGGCGGTTTTGTCTCCTTTGACGACGTCCCCGCAGGCACATCACTGGCCATCTCGTTCCCCTTCTCTATCGAACAGGACGTACTAGAGTTGTGCCTTAAGGTGGATGTCACCTACACGACAACCAGAGGCACGACGTTTCACTTCTCCAAAGTGCCCTCCGTCAGCACTTCTCTGGCCCTGGGTGTTAACGTGCAGGACGTCTTCAAGCACGATGCGCTTTTCTCGCGTTTTACCGTATCGACTGCGACGGCCAGCCCCCTGCGCGTTTTCCGCAGCGAGCTCCTCGAGTCGGACATGTTCACCGCGCAGCTGGGCACGGATGCCTTGGAAGACGGCAGTGTGGACCACAGCACCAGCCTGCCCGTTGTCTTCCCAAAGCAACCGGTCAGTTTGTTGTACAAGATTGTACGTAAGCCAAGCTCTGGGCCGCTCAACGCGCCACCCAGCAAAGACACAAAGCGTACCATGTACATCAAACTCCACTACAGCGTGTTCCAGGACCAGCTCGATGCGGCCCTCGAAGCGTCCCTCTGTGAAGCGTTCCGGAAGACGACTACGCTAGCGCAGTTTGCTAAACTCGCTTCTTCCTGCGTGCTACGGCATGTGCACGCATCCTTGTCTCCGTACGACCTCGAAAAGATTGCCTTGCTGAACGAAATGACCACGTCCGTGTTGGCACATGTCAACTGGGCCCGCGAGTTCCCAGGCCTGGGCCCAAGTAGCACCGGCACGTCGAAGTCGAAGGCGGATGACCTAGCGGCCGTAATCTACGACTGGCAGAAGCAACATGCTGTCCTCGCCATCCCACCAGCCGACCCTTCGTCATCAAGCAGTATCCGCACCATTCTTATTCCGGTTGATATCCCCAGCATCACCATTGTACACACAGCCGACATCCAGCTGCAAGGACCCTTTGGCGCTGCGGTGGCAGCCGACCGCTTCGTGTCTAATGACAGTGACGAGGACGAGGACGGAGGTAGTGACGACGATGGCTCTGTCAGCTTGCCCATCTTTTGCGTGAATCAGCTCCTGCCGGCTACACTGCATCTTCGGTGGACACGCATCTGGGACACGGGTGACGCGGACGCCTCGCCAGATTCTTCGGTGCCAGCCTCTTCGCTTCTTGATGACCTTGAGTTTAGTTTTGAGGTCTCGGCTCCTACGGACGCCTGGCTTATTGGTGGTCGCCGCAAGGGCCACTTTGTCATCCCAGCGCCCGACGCGGATGGCAGCACCATCGGTCTTAGCTCAACGCCCGCCCTCGAAGCTGCCATCCCCCTCATGCTCATCCCGCTGCGCGAGGGCCGTCTGCCTTACCCGAGCGTCGAGATCCGGCAAATCATGTCTGATTCAACAACAACTGGCGGCCACCATGCCGAGCCGTCCCTCAACGGTCATCCGCACGAACCCCTGGCCGGCCACCACCACTGTGAGACCGACTATCGCAACCTAGGCGAGACTGTTCATGTCGTGGCGGACCGGACGCGGTTGACCCTAAGCTTAGATGCGAGTGGACCGGGAGGTGGGCCACTGGTCCTGGAAAGTGAGCGAGCCCGAGGAGTCGGGCGGGTTGTGGTCTAAATAGCCAGATTTTATGCCCTCAACGATAATAGGTCTCTAGGGTTTTTTAAAGATTTTTTGAGCGAAGTCTTTTGCGCTTCCTTTTTTATGGCGTATTTCAGTATCTCAAGGGCTCGAAACCAGCTCAAAGGTAGCGCATTGCGAAGTAAAATTTTATTTTTATTTTAAATGATACAGAATTTGATTATGATCTTAATTATTTTTTTTTTTTTTTTTTTTTTTTTTGGTATTTATAAGAACAAGGCTAAGGTTATACAAATAAATATAGCGGAGGGAGCGGTGAAGCACAAAACGTCCGTGATTTTCGCACAGATAGGTACCTAATTATTTAATAACAACGACCTTGGCATCAACTCAAGTATGTATTTCGTATGGGGCCGTTTTTACGATGTATATGAAGTTCATTGTTTCAACACGTGTAAAATGCACCATGAGGCTGGGCCTACCGCTCCGTGCAGCGTAATTACTGAGCAAAACGATTGCCTGGCCCCGGATCAGGCTAGTCATTTAATAAACGCCAGCCCATATTCCCTCATTTGAAGTTATTAATTTATGATTTGGGGCGTTAACGGCGCGCCTTGGGACTACAGGTCCAGCCATTAGGCCCCTTTTGGCAGGGCCGTTCGAGAACCACTAAGCTGAGACGACACGACGCAAGGAAGGAGGGAGGTAGCCACTCAACAAACGGAAAATGAATCGGCGCAACAGCAGATGACAAAACATCCAGACTTTGCGATCAGACAGACAACGACACAGCATCGAAGCATGAAAACACGACGCGCGGCCGTTTGAAGACAGTGCTCGAGCTAGCAGCAGACCTACGCGCGACCACGACGCTGTTGTCCTCAAGCGACTCGACCACTCCACAACAAAGTCGACGTCGACGTCAACGTCAAAGTTTGCGCAACTGCGCCGAACCCTTCTCCCTCTTCACCAACCACAGCACCTCTCCCGTCATGACACGACCGTTCCGCCTTGGCCTGTTGGTCACGGGTTTCATCGTCTTTGTTACGATTATGTACATGTCGTTTGGCAGCACGTCCACGCCCGCATTCAAGCCAGCAACGGCAACGGAGCCGTTTGGCGGCAGCATTGGCAGCCTGGGCCTCTCGGAAACACTGCTAACCGGCGGATCCATTGCACCCAAGCTCGAGAATGCGACAGCCAAGTATGTTTCTTCACCGACTCGTTTGATCCGACTGCATTGGAGTGCGATGACGAAACTCCCACATACTAACGTCCCCCGGCAGAGCCGAGCTTGGTCGCGCCTCCTGGAAGCTGTTGCATACCATGATGGCACGTTTCCCTGACACGCCGACCCCCGACGACAGCCTCGCGCTCCAGACCTACATCCAGCTCTTTGCCCGCCTCTATCCCTGCGGCGACTGCGCCTCACATTTCCAGACGCTGCTCCAGGAGTACCCGCCGCAGGTGTCCTCGCGCAACGCTGCGGCGGGCTGGGCCTGCTTCGTGCACAATGAGGTCAACACGCGGCTCAAGAAGGAGCTGTTCGACTGCAGCAAGATTGGGGATTTTTACGACTGCGGCTGCGGTGAGGATGGCAAGGACGGCGGGAAGGGCGGCCACGGCAAGGTGCCAACGACACCTGAGAGCGGCGGCAACGTTGACGAGGATGGCAATGCTATTGAAGCCAAGGCCGAGGCCGCGCCGCCACCGCTGACACTCGGTGGAGAGGCGTCAATAGTGCTGGAGAAGGAAGAAGGGTGAGTTATCTTATACGAGCGTCTTGCATGCCCAATACACCAGCCGTACGGGGTGGTGACATGCTGCCTGTACGTGTCCACTAACATAACGCAGTCTGTCTCGTGGCGGTTGAGTTACTGCACTTCCTCGGCTTGTTTTGTTATTTTTCTGTCGTATTTTGTTTTGGATTCCCTACAATTTGACACCGTGTCAAGTAAGCTCTGTTGCTTTACCTTTTTCTCGTCGGCCTCATTTCTACCTATGATCTCTTAAATCGGCCTACTATTCTACTGCTTCCTTTACGGTGTACCTATGTTCCTTTGGCTATTTCTCCCACTGTTTGCAGCCCGCGACCAAATATCATTGGCCGTACCATCTTTCTTTTATACCAATAGCCGATGTAAAACAGCATTATAGAATTTCAAGAGTAACAAAAAAAGTCTTTTGAAGATATTCGTACCAATATGCGAATCGTGAATGGTTGGCTTTCGCGAAGAAACCGTCGTGACTGGTCACGTGCCAATACAGTAAACTGCCGGGCGGTCAGCGCCTTGGCAACGCGTTACAGCAAGCTGCCTGGAGCTTGGTGTTTGGAGCTCAGCATTCGTCAACCAGGCCGCCTAGCATTGGCGACCACATCAACGACACAAGGCTACATCTGCATTTGCATCTGCATCCACGTCTACACTACCACGACCCAACCCGCACGACGATATTGAACCCTGAAACATTTCGCATCATAGCCCCGCGTACAGTGCATGAAGAGCGCCGATTCTAGTCACGATTTGCTGTCAACACACCACAGCCTCTTCTCCCATCCCCTCTCATAACCACGTCCCACCTCAATACCTTCCACCGACACACCTACACACACGATGGAGTACGGCAAGTCCGGCCAGCTCAGCGAAGGTTTGTCTTACGTCCAGATTCTGGCGATATTGAGGCCAAGACGGCGCCCTCGATGCCTTGGGTTGCAAGGCCAAGACTGACTCGGCTGTTTAAGATGGCATCCATGTGGACATGGACAGACTAAAGAAGGGCGAGGTCAAGTAAGTTGCCCTGATCGCGTGCCGCATGTATGGAAACGCAGAGCGTCTACTAATATTCTTCTGCGCAGCCTTGGAACATCGATGTAAGGTCTACGATCATTTGCGTGCCGTACTCTCGGCCGAGTGCCCGATGCTAACGACAGACAGCATGGCGATCACATTCAAAGACGGTGTCATTCTGGGTATGTTGCAATGGGCTATGGGGTTCCCTCTGCTTGCATTTAATTGCTTTTTGTATTTTGTATTTTGTGTTTTGCATTTTGTATTCGTTTATATGTCTTCTCACTAACGAGCGCTTCTCGACTCCAGGCGCCGACTCCCGTACGACGACTGGCGCCTACATTGCCAACCGTGTTACCGACAAGCTCACGCGCGTGGCCGACACGATCTGGTGCTGCCGCTCCGGTTCGGCCGCCGACACGCAGGCCGTTGCCGACATTGTACAGTACCAGCTTGGCCTCTTTGCCATGCTCAACAAGCAGCCGCCCACCACGCAGACGGCTGCGTCCATCTTCCAGGAGGTGTGCTATGCCAACAAGGATGCACTGAGCGCGGGGCTCATTATTGCTGGCTGGGACGAGCGGTACGGCGGCCAAGTGTACTCGATCCCATTGGGCGGGTCGCTGCACAAGCAGGCGTATGCAATTGGTGGATCCGGCTCGACGTACATCTACGGCTACTGCGACGCCAACTGGCGCGAGGGCATGGACGAGGCCGACGCAGTATCGTTTGTCAAGGGCGCGCTGCAGGAGGCGATCAAGTGGGACGGCAGCTCAGGTGGTGTCATCCGAATGGTGGTGCTGACGGCGGCCGGTGCGGACCGGCACCTGTACTTGCCGGACACAAACTACACGGTGCGGCATCAATAGAGGAGGGGAGCGGGTGGCAGACCGTGGTCAGAAGCCAAAAGGTGTTCGGAGGCGTTAATCAGTGGGTGGTCAAAGACATAAACCGAACGAGGGATGGCAATGCGCTTTGCGACGCACGCGCGCGTTGCACACACGCACACGACTGACAGGGTGTGATGTACTTTGTTCCTTTGTCGGTTGCCGCTGCTTTTTACCAACATTTTCTCGACCGCCGCTTCGCTGAACCGTTTGCTGCTCATTGTGCTATTGTGTTTTGTTCCTTATGTATACTGCCATTGCCATTGTATGTCGCAAAAGAGAACGGATAACTGAAAACACGAGACCAAACTATTGGAGTTTAAGTGATTGAGTGCAAGGTGAGTGAGTATTGGGTTGATGGAGCTTTTTTGCGCGTGTTCCACATCGGTGAGGCTCATGCCTCCGAAGTCTGTAACCAAACTTCAGGGCCACCCAATCGGCATGGCACGGCTCATTCTCAGGGGCACTGCGGTAATTGGCTAGCACTGGCTTGGGCTGCCAGGCCAGCTGTACGAAGTAGGGCAATTCCGCCACCTAGAAGGGTTTGACTGTCTGTCCCCTTTGCGGGGAATTACTGCCTCGTGGTCGTGTCGCGCACCGAGATTGGTTCGTCGTCCACCTTGTTTTGTGTGCCCATACCGTTGTAGTTGATGCCCACGCCTCTAATTTCCAACAACAGTACGTCGTCCCTCGCTCTGCCTTTTGGGAACGTAGTTTTCATCGGCGACCCTGCTCTTGACCGCCATAACTTCCGGCACGTCCGCTACAGTAGGCAGTTTTGTGGTTACGATGCCAGCGCCCTTTGCATTGGGTCAATTAAAAATACAGAAAATTGACAAACTTAAATAAATACACCTCACTGGCTGGTTTTCGAGACACGGGGGTAAGATACGGTAGGTTCGCCTGGGCAAAGGCCTGTCATCTCGCGGGCCGCTCACCGGCCTTCCGTGTCTCCTCTCTGGCCCGTACGTCGTAAGATACGTCCCATCCCCCTTTCCCCTGCGCAAGGGTGGCCCTCGTGGAAGGGTTAGGCAAGGAGAATGGCTAGATCTGGGCTCGCGATGGCCTGGCCAGGTCTGGCTTGCCTCAAAATTGGACAGACTCTCTCTGCTGCACTGGATAGCCAAAACACCCTTCTGTGACGCGTGCATGCCAGGCACATAATATTTTCAACGTGTCGTCATTTGCCATTGTCCCGTCGTCAGAGGTAAGCCGTGTTCGCGCTGGAATGGCTGTGCGGCTGTAAACCACGCCGTCCCTGTCAACGGCCACGGTCGTCACCCACGTCCACACACTTGCAGCATTGGGCCGCGTGCGCTGTACGGAGTAGCTTGGGCGGCGTTCAGCGTGTGGCATGCTGCGCTTTCGTTTCTTCTTTTCCTTCTCTTCTCTTTCCTTTTCTGTCTGTGGTCTCGGGTTCCACCGACTTTTCCATCTCGTCGTCTTCTCTTTCGCTCTCTCCTTTTTTCCATCTCTTCTTCTTCTTCTTCCTCTTACTTTCCCCTTTCATCTCTCTCCCCTTCTCTCCCCTTCTTCTTCCGTTTTTTTCTCTTCTCTCCTTCTCCCCTCCCCTTCTCCTCTTCCGTCAATGACGTTGCCCGCGCATTTCTGCCACGGTCTAGCTAGTAAACTGGTTGTCAACGAGACGCGAGGCTGAGGAGTTTTCTTGGAGCTTGGAGGTGCCGGAGCCTGGCGGGAGGCGAAACTGAGGACATCGTTTCGGATCGAATTCTTTTCTGCGATCGTCATCTATGCCGACTGCCTTTTTAGGTACCTTTTCGATTTCGTTTCTAAGTGGGATCGCTGCCGACACATCGATTCCACTCGTCCAGCCTGTCGCCCAACTCCTCCCCGAAAGGACGCCCCGAGTCAAGCGCCCACTGTTCAGCACCCACGTTTGGCGCTAAAGCGGTCTCGACTTTCGTCTCCAAGCGGCCCGGGTAGTCGAGCCTAAGACCAGGCCCAGACTGCCACGCTTGCGTCGTACTTGTACTCTGAGTCTCGCTGTCTCTTTCGAGTCTCGCTGTTGTCACGACGTCGTCCATCAACACGGCCTTCGCTCGAATTGTTTCCCTGGACACATTGTCGCGGCTGCTTTGAACCATTCAACGGCCCTCTGTCCAGCCCACCGAAGTGGTAAGCGCGTTCTTTTATTTTGTCCTCTAACAGAATGTCCCCCAGCCCTCACACCCTTCTCTTGTCGTCGTGGGATATCTGGGCCGCGGGGGTAGGATGGTCCTTATCTTTATCGGCCATATCGAATTCACGGTCACTGGCTCTGCGTCGCCTGTCTCCCCTTTCCCAATTACAACCCCTGCTTCGCTGCCGATCCATGCGCCCGACTAGGTCGTGTGCCATTGCCCCTTCTTTTATGTTGTAGTGGCGTCCGAATCTTTTTTCTTCACATATTTGTTCCTTTGCTCCTTTTTCGACTGTGTTCCCATCCCCATCGTTCTTCGAGCCACTTCGTAGTTGCCAATTTCCCTGTATGGAGTTGGAGTTTATCGCGCTGCCCCAATCGCTGTTTGCACCTTGCCCGACTATCGTTACCGCTTGTTTGTTGCGCCAGTGGCCTCACCGCGTAATCCGACTTTGTCAGGTTCCGGCCCTTTATCGCCTCCCTCTTTGTCGCGGGGCAAGATAAGGCCTGGCGTCCGACCCCCAACTCGCCTTATCCACCCTACAGTGACCCGAAGCCCGGAGGCCCAGGTGTCAATACTTCTGCCAGCCAGCGCGCTAATCACGTTATTTCCTGTCCAGCACCACCATTGTTCCACCCCTCTTCACTTCTTTCCTCTTTCTCAAGAAAAGCTCTTCTAAGCGCTCTTTGTACGGACGGAGCGCCTCCAGGAACACCCACGCAAAAGCGCCGCAACATTCACCGCACTCTCCGTTTTCACGAGGCAACAACTGCCCAACCGCCGACAAGTATTTTGACTTTTGCCTCGAAATCCTCGATCCCTCGCCATCGCCCGTTCCCTGGACTCGACTCTGGACGACAATGCGACCGTGAGATCATGGCCACTTTGATTGGAGACGTGTATGGTGCGGAATCCTCCCCATTTCACATTCGGGCCCCTACATCGGGCGTCGCCATCGCGAAACACCAAGAGCCGCAACATCAGCAACATCAATCACAGTATCAGCAGCAACAGAACCACCAGTTTAGCCAACATAATCAATACCCTCAACATCCCAAGGACCCTCCGTCGCCGTCCCAATCTCAAGAACACCCGATGCCCACATCTGCCAGCACATCGACGACAACCCGCCACCCTGCGTCGCCTCCACTTTCCTCGTCCAACAGCTTCTCCTCGCCGCACGGGCAAGCTCCGTCGGGCAGCGCGGACGTCGCGGGCAGCGCCGCCATCGTCGGGCAGAATCTCACACGTCGCACCTCTCCTCGCAAAGACGCCTCAGGCTACGCGCGCATTCCTACGCCGCCCGATTCGTCGTCGCCCAGCAGCCCCCAGCAGACCAGGAATGGCTGCATAGTGCAATCCATGGCCGCTACTAACAATGAGACGATCAGCGCGACATTCACCAGCGCTCCCGCTCCTTCTTCTTCTTTATCAACCTCTGGCTTGCCCTCGTCTCTGCCAGGTTTCCCGACTTCCTATGTCTTGCCCGTTCCACCGTTACCACCGACGGGGCCCCAGCAACGCCCACAGCGCACGATCCTGATCCGCGACCTCAACCACATCCAAACCCTGACGCAGGCGGACGGCGCTTTGGGTGACGGTGCTGGCTTGGGCGGCCCCCTCGGTGCGGGCTTGGGAGGTGGCAGCTTAGGCCTGGGCGGCACAGCGCCACTGCAGGATGTCAAGTTTGAGATTAGTGCCATGCCCATCGGCGATGTCATCGAGATGGTTGCCGCGCTTCTCACCAAAATTACTACGACCAATGATCACCAACACGATGCGCTGCACCGCAATGCCGCACAGCACCGCCAGGCCCAGGTCCATAACGATGGCGGAGCAGACGGCACCAGCAACGGGCACAGCAGTGGTGGCCATAGTGCCAGTCCCTTTTCGGCCTCGGTGCTGGCTTTCCACGGCAAGAACGTCCCGGCCATCACCATTTTGAGCTACTTGTCACGCATCCACAAATACTGCCCGACGACATACGAGGTGTTCCTTAGCCTTCTGGTGTACTTTGATCGCATGACGGAGCGGGTCAACGATTTGGTCATGAAGCAGCAGCAGCAGCAGGAGAAGCAGCGCGACCTGCAGAAGGAGAGGACGGAACGTAATGACCGCGTTGCAGGCGACAAGGATGTCGCTATGCACGATGCTGATGCCGGCTCGAGCGATGTTGACGAGACAGACGAAGGGCTGGCGGACAGCAGCGATAGCAGCAGCAGCAGCGAAGATGAAGACGATGAAGGTGGTGTTCCGCGGCGTGATACTGCTGCAACAAAAGCCGCAGCTGCGGCAACTGCATCTTCGAAAACAACTCCTGCGCCCTCTGCACCGCTTGACGTTACAGGGTCGCTCTCGGCTGCTACCTACTTTGTCGTTGACAGCTTCAACATCCACCGCCTCATAATTGCCGGCGTCACGTGTGCGAGCAAGTTCTTCTCAGACGTTTTTTACACCAATGCTCGCTATGCGAAAGTCGGCGGCCTGCCGCTGGCCGAGCTGAACCACCTGGAACTGCAGTTCCTGATCCTCAACGATTTCCGCCTTGCGATCCCCATCGAGGACCTAGAGGCATATGCTACCATGCTTGTCGAGTTTTACGCCCGCGAGGTCGTGGGGACCCGGCCCCGGCCGTCTAGTGCAACAGCCGGTGGTGTTCCGACAACACAGCCTGTCGGAGGAGCAGCGATGGCTGCTGCGCCCTAGTTGAGCCGTGTCGTCTCTGCTATGTTGCAATTTCGACCACCTGAGTTTCCTATGCTTCATGACGAAGGAGCAATCCAAGCGGAGACGAACGAAAGGGCATCCACCAACGATGAGACTACCCGCGAATGACACCCCCACTCCGAACATTAATACGATGCGACAACCAGAGCTGGCATATAGTATGGACGGCGTGAGGAGATGATATGAAGAGGAAGTTCGAAGAACTCGTCGATGCATTTGGGCAGACATTATGTGCCCGCTTTCTATAATTACGATGAACGAATACACAAATACAAGGCCAATTTCAGTGTCGGCTGGAAAACCGGCCTATCTTACGAATGTGCATTCGTTGCACCAAAATCAACACCCGCGCTCTGATAACCCCCCATGACCACCCTAGGCAGCGAGGCTCGCCTTTAGAAACAAATAGACTCGAAGTTACGGAATTACCCGAATGCCACTGACACAGCCGAGTCGATTGTACTGCCGCGAATCGCGGCCAGTGAAGACAACCTGGGACATACACATAGATGAGACACAACAGAGGGCCAGGCAAGTGGCTCGACCGGCGACGGTTATGGTTGAGGATGCCGGGATTGACTTTCTGTGCGCCCAGATGAGGAACGTGTCTATTTTTGGGGGCTGCTACAGAGCCGCCTGGTTCGCATCCTCGTATCTACCGTGTCTTTTTCGTCCGTCTGTTCTTTTCACATTGTACGCGTTTCATGCCTTTTCTTTTCTTTTCCTTTTTTTGTCCATGTACTCTGCTCCCTCTTCTTCCTGCTTCGTCTACGCTGCATATTTCTTTTCTCTCTTTTTTTTTTCCCCCCCTTTCGTTACAGTGCACTGTCTGCCTTACTTTTCTTTTTGGCTGGCGTCTGGCTTATAATATACATAAATAGACTTTGGCGGTTGCAATTGACGTAATTCCATACACGCATTATATCAGGATAGTCATATTGTCAGCTTCATCCATTAGTAAACACACGCGCCTACACAGACAGCGTCACTTGAACGACATCCAGTGCATCGTCCCGGGTGCCTGTGAAGCGCGCTTCGGCCGTTGTCCAGTTGATGATCTGCCACACGTTGTCTACGTACGATTGCTTGCCATTGCGGTACTGCAGGTAGTACGCGTGCTCCCACATGTCAATGCCTAGCACCGGCACTGCATCCACGACAGGGTCCTGGTCCTTAGTCGTGACAATGCGTAGACTGTCGCTCCCGTCCAGCTTGACCAGCCAGCCCCATCCCGAGCCTTGGATGCCTAGTAGTGTCTTTGAGAACGCCGCCCAGAACCCCTCCACGTCGCCGTATTGTGCTGTGAGTGCTTTCGTCAGCTGAGGCGCCTTCTTTTTGGGCTTCTTGGCGTCGTCGCTCGAGGCTGGTGCCAGAGACGGCCAGAACAGTGCGTGGTTGATGTGGCCGCCGCCGTGGAAACGCAGACCGGGCTGCAGTGCAATCTGGTCGGCGACGCGGCCCTGCGCAACGGCTGACGAGTAGTTTGTCAGCAGCGCATTGAGGTTGCTAATGTAGGCCTGGTGGTGCTTGTCGTGGTGCAGGGTCATGATCTCGGCGGAGATGTGTGGCTCGAGGGCATCGTATGGGTACGGCAAAGGGGGCAGAGCGTAGGCGTGGACTGAGGCCTTGGATGGCAGGAAAAGCAGTTTGTTAATAAATAATTGTTCGTTCTGCGTGGCGTCATCTCATTTAGCGAGGTGCTCACCATCTCACCAAAGACAGCCTGTCCCGGCACCGGGATGCCAGCAATATCCGCCATTGGCAGTGTCGCAGTCGGATGTCAATAAGTGTAGGTACTTTCGGTCGTGTTGGATTGCAGCGTGCGCTTGTGGGAGACGGTTGTGAGAGGCTGAGGTGTGAGCGCTTCTGTGATGACGATATTAGTAAACTAGGCTACGGTGTTTTCCCGCTGCTGCCGCTGGCTACAGCCAACTGTAGGCGCCATACAAGGTGGAAACAGCGGGTTCGAACGAGCTACATCGCCAAGCTGACGTAATGAGTGTCATATTTGCTCGTATGAACAACAAAGCCGTATTGAAAATACAAAGCGAGTAACTAACAACAGATTCAATAAAAAAACTTTGAAAACACTATAAAATGATATAGGGTACGTAACAAAAGGCAACACGAAATTACCGAAAATCGCCAATAGTTCGCATCAAGACGCACGCTTGCCTCCCCCTAGCCAACCCACGTTCACTTTTCATCGCTGATCTTGTGCTTGAGCATCGCACTATGCAAATCTTTGATGCGAGAGGGATCCTCGAGTAGGTCCCACGCCACCTCCTTCTTGGTCTTGTGATGACCGTGGCCGCCGCCGCCTTCGGTGTGCGCCCCTTCTATGTCGTCGTCCATGTCGCTCAAACGACTTTCGTCGGATGAGCTGACCGAGCTGCTGCTAGGGCTACGGTTGAGGACAAGGTGCATCCCCCCGCCTTCGCGTTTCTTACTCTCATGTTGCTCGCTCTTCATCTTTTGCAGTGTCTCGTCCTCCCAATGCATGCAGACGATGCCGAGGCCCGGAAAGTTCCGCTCAAGGAACTCCTTCAGGAGAGGAAGCAGCGACTTATCAGGTCTGTAGGTGCCAGAGTCGTTGTCTATGATGAGTTGGTAATAGCCTGGCTGGTGAGTCGGCGGCTCCTCGTCGGGTGGGCCACCGGAGAGCGATGCTGCGGGCGGGTGCGTGGGCATGCCCGGCTGCGGGTTCGACGAGCCAGACGGGTCGGCCAGACGCCGAATAAAGAACTCTCCCGAAATCGCAATGTAAGTCGCAACGTCCGAATGCATGGTGTGCTTCGAAAGCAGGTCGATGCCAAACTCCTTGCCGGTTTCGGTAAAGCGGAAGACGCCATCAAGGGAGATCATGTATGTGAATATGCGGCCGCCCTCGTCAAAGTGGGCGAGCTTCAGGAACTGCAAAGATGCCTCATCGGAGCAGGGCGGGAAAGCACCATACTCGGTCGATCGGCTGAAGTTGTACACGCGATTGTGCTGCTTGTGCAGGGCTTTGTTGAGGATGCGGCCACGCAAGCCGTGCGACGAGAACATGCGGCCGATGATGGGCCGGAACTCAACATAGCGGTGGTACAGTCCCGAAGGAACGGGACCTTGTAGCTGGATCTCGTTGGCCTGGAAGTCGTACTTCTTCGTGCTGCCGCTAGCTTTATCCTGCTGTGCATCCGCCGCCTTCTTATCGTTCTCCTCGTCCTTCTCGCTCTTTTCGTTCCCGGCTGTTGTAGTGTGATCTGGAGCTGACGCCAAAGATGGTGCCGTCGTAGCAGGCGCATGGGCATCTTGCACAGTCTCTGCACCGTCCTCGTCGTGGCGCTCGTCACGGTTGACGAGAGTGTTAGTGATGCGGCCAATCATCGGAGAAAAGTGGCGTACAAAGCCCGTCGGACCAACGGTGTACATTCGCATACCCTGGCCGTCCTCTTTGTGATGCGCGTCCTCGCCAACGACGGAAATGCTGAGCTCAAGCGTTGGTGTCAACTTTGTGCTTGTCAGGGCCGCTGCAGCTGCTTTGAGGAGATATGCCCGCTTACTGCCCATGCGCTTCTTGACGTCAAAGGTCGCGTGCTCTATGCCGGGCCAGTTGTGGCCCGTGAATGACGGCACCTCGACCGTGACGTTGCCCAGACGGTCATCGTGGTCGGTCGAATCCTCGTCGTACAGGCGGCACTTGAGCTTGAAACCTTGGTTCGACGCGGGGATGCCAGCCACAACCCACTCCTCGTCCCACACCGGTTCTGTCGTTTTATGGATGGTACGCGTGCGATGCACCATGTCCGGGTCTTCGTCGTGGCGCTTGGTGACGGCTGGCACTGTCAAAGTAGCACGAATAAACGGATCCGACGACGAGCTGCCAAAATCGGCCACAGGTAGGTTCGTTGCCCGGTGGAAGGTGAACTTTAGAGTGTACGTAGGCCCTGCGGCCGTGGGTAGAGGTGTGTCATCATAGCCACCTGGAGGATGCTCTTTGTCTCGTAGCCGCTCGGTCTTGTCGGTAATCTTGTCCTTTTGTGTCGCGATGCGAGTCTTGATGTGGCTGGGTAGTGTGCGAGGTTGGTTGGCGCTGTTCTCGTCGTTGTTGCTTGTATCGGCGAGGGGCGCTTCTGGCGTGGGGGAGGGGGGTCGGTTCAAATTTGTCGGAGTCCGGAGTGCTGAGGATGTTGTTGCCTCTGCAGGCTGTATCGCAGTGTCTGCCATGGCAGGAACGATAGTAACAAGGAGCTGGCAAAGAAGGAACGACCAATTGTGTTGACCACCCGGAAAGCCAAGACTCGACTCAAAAGGACCGGGCCGTGGCGGTAGCGACGAGGGTGCTGACAGAGACCACAGAGTCCGTTGACACGTTTTTGCCTCCCGAGCCTTTGTGGTTGACAGCGGGGTTTGTTGGATTGAGCGCTGTTACCGAATGGCGGATGACTGGCGCGGTGCGACAATTTGTCGATTGTGTTGGGTCTTTGAAGCTTCTGATTCCCTTCTTGAATCTAATTCGACATGAAAAGAATGTCGTTTTTGTCGTTGAGGCGTAGCGTTGATCGTCGCGCCGAGAAAAACTCTTCCCCTCAAATGTATTTATTCCGTCGCAACGTCGCGCCATCCGGTAAAATGCTTGGTTGACTACGGACCCGTTCGTCGTCATGACGTCAGTTTGCAGCCCCAACAGGAATCGACAAACTTAACGGAAAACAGGAACGGGCCATTGAGAGCTTTTCCGGCTGGCGTGCTTGTTTGGGCATGGCCACTTTAGGGGACCTCTGAGGGAGCGCGCCGGGAGGACGCTCGCTAAGTTCCAGTAGCCAAATATGAATGTGAAGTGACGTAGGACTGCAACGGGTGGGGAGAAGCGATGGAGACACGTAGAGTGTCAGAATCCACGAGAAATTTCGTCATATGACAAGAGGCAACCTGCAGCCTTTTATCGCACAGATGCTGTTGTGTTTCTTGCTGTGGATTTTGCGCAACACTGTTGGTCGTCTTGTTTGTGATTGAAATGCCCCTCATACTTTTCGACATAAGGAGTGCTTTTCTTATCAAAAACAACGCATCCCGCGGGGCGATAGCCCTTGACGGTACGCAGAACGGACTGTTTTGAGGCAAGCACCGTTCATACAAAACCGCGATGCGGTCATCCACTGGCTTTAGGTTTTTGCTGCCACTGTCAACAAATTTCATGATCCCTACGCTGCCTTTGTACTCTGTAGTAAGCAGACTTGACGCATTTACTTGTATCTGCCACGTGCTTGACTATTATGCTGTTTCTCATTTTATATGACAGCCGTGTGCGTAGGGAGTACAGTTTTGTGCTGCACGATCTTGCTCACAACAATCCCGGCTCCGATGCACTTGATATTGACAACATTGTCGCTTACATACTGCTTTTAAGGTCCGCCACAGTGTCACTCGACTCAGTTATTTCGCTGGGCCTGGAAACTCCCTTGGTAAAAGATTCTTGGTCATCGGTGGATGCTGGCAGGTTTGGGCAACTAACCGCCGCCATCAACGGTCGAAGCCTCAATAATCATTCGATGGGCCTTCTCGATTTTGCCGTTTGAGCGGCAACACCTGTTGCCTTCTACTTCGCCAATGTGACCCTTGTCACCTGTCGTAGTCTGTCTGAATGCTCGTGCCGCATGCGGCCAAGACCAGCTCAGAAATTAGGTCAGGGCTTAGGCCTACATGTCGGCGTTTGCTTTTTCCCGCTTTGTTGAGCTTGCTGTTAGCAGTGCATATTTCCGGAGATCTTAGCGACCGACGCCAAAATCATGAAAATGTCAGGCAGTTTTTTTAAGTCTTTCACCGACAACAAGACGTTGAGTGCTGCACATTATGTCTTACACATACCCCTTGTCATCGTTCAGCCTCATCCGGATTTTCTTGCCGAGGACACTCATTCTCCGTGTCTCCTTTACCTAACTCCCGCTCGACGGGGCAGGTATTATGCCGGGCAAGTCTTGTGTTGCCTGTCATGATTCCGTGCATTTCCTCAATGACCGGGGTTCCTACCTATTTTGTATTAGGATTACGCTGTTACTCGAGATCTTGGCCCGCCCTCAGCATGTCGTCCATAAGGCGCCCCTGCGCCCTTGGTCCTGCATCCTAAAATTTATCCCCCCCACGCAAGGTACTTGCGGCTGCCAGCTATCTTCCGAAATCACTATCCCGTCGTTCCCCTACCCCTCCCTTACGCTTGGAGTACACACGTATGTCCTGTTTTCTTTCTTCTTCTCTCATTACTTCACTATCCACTTGGAAAACAAAGTCCATGTCAGGGATCGGCGGCGACATAGGGAAGTTACAAGGTAGTCATAGTCTCGATGCTGTGATCTAAGCTTGTCGTGTGTCGTATGTACTGAAGTGAAGATAGTTAGCTATTCTCTTTGCGAGTAAAGCGTGTCGCTTGTCTCCCAGCAGCGTACTGCAGGCCCACTAAACAGCACAAACGTTCACTAACCTCACTAGAATGTTCAGACTTGCACAACTGTTAACAACCATCAAATGCCCAACGCCTCTCAATTATTTTTACTCCGTAGTTGCGATCGTATTTGACCTACTTAAATGGGCCAAGACCGTTGACAGCTTCGCGTGTCCTCAAGAGATCGCCAACCCCACTGTTCCACTCATACGGCGACCACATTGGCCGTGCCTTTCGGCCCATCGGTTGTGTTACCTGACTTCGAACACGGGCCATACGTGCCAATCATTACACTAACCGACCCACCACACCAACGTCGGGGCAAATTTGCGGACTCGGTGGCCGCCTGGACACCCAACGAGGACACAACTATTCCATGAGGGGCACGCACATTGCGACGCTTCTGCTAAACCGGCCCCATAGGGCCGACGCCAGATGGGTGAGCCTTCTGCTGCTGATAGCTCTTGATGCTCCTTATCAGCAAACTAGCTCTAAAGGTGGAGTGACAAGCAAATAGCGGAGGTTGTCAGAAAAAGGGCTGGAGCTAGCCCGTAACTTTAGTCGGACGACGAGGTGTTGGTGGTGAGGTAAGGACGCGGCAGAACATATTGAACGAAGCCGGATGAGGTTGCATTCACGATTCTTTTTGAATCAGCTTGATATTACGCCGTTGCCGTGTTCCTCCATTTCCTCGTGACCGAATCTCCATCTTTGTGTTGCTGTGATTACTCTCGATGAGCACTGTCGCATCGTGTCGCTTTCTGTGTTATTCTCCGACGACTACCTGTTCCGTAAAAGGCAACTCCCCCAGTGTTGCGGAATTGCCTTCTTTGTCTCCCCGGCAAGACGCCATTTACGGGCTGATAGCCGACGAGAACGACGCTTGACTAGGCCGCAGCAGCCCACAGCATTCATGCGTCCGGACGAAGCTCACGCCGCGCTCTGGTCTCACTTCCGTCGTTTCTCTCCACCCATCCTTGTCCGAGATGCCGCAATAGGTGGCCCACTTCATTGCATGTCTACAAGAGATGCCGAGGTGAAATGGGGCTGGAACGATACTGGGTACAAAGACAAAGCAAGGGCGCGGCAAACCAATCATAAAAAACGGAGTATTAACATGGTCAGCAACTCCTTGGTAGCACCGGTCTACATTGTCTCGCTGTTCTCGAGATTATGCCTTGGCTACTTCGCCCTCGCGGTCTGAAAGATTCCGGCGTTGATGTGAGGTGGCCACCTTACACCTGTAAGATTAATGGCAACGTGCTACCGACTGTTTTGACGTGTGGCCGACTTTCCGCCACATTATTAAGGGGACCACCCCACATACACACATTGCGCGGAATCTAACACAACCGCCGACATAATTTTGTGTGTTTTGTTGCAGACCATGCATTGAGTCGATTTTCAAAGCACGCATGTACATATACCGTTGATACTTGCTGTTGTACGTGCGTTTTTCGACTGGTCCTGTCAATAAAAGTCACGCATAGCAAAAGTGACAAGAAATTCCTACTCCTTCTATATGTTAACGTCTTAGTTACTTTTTACCTGACCATCTTTCTCCCAGCCTTTAAATTTGATTACTTTCTGTTTTCGTCTTCGTGTGGCTCTCCCAGCCCAATCCCATATCTGGCCAGTTTCGGGAAAGAGATGGCTTTTATATAATTCAAACCTCCACTAGTATCCTCGCGATGTTATCCTCCTCAGCCACATCCTCCTCTTCCGGCATTATATCATCTGGTACTTTTCGCTGACTGTAACTTCTCGTCTACTTTATTGTTTGCTTTCTGTACTTAAGTCTGCTACCTTCCCCAATCCTATCTTAACACTTATAGCGTATTTTATCACAGTCTTCCACACAGATGAGGTTCGTCTGCGGTGTGGTCCTCGCACTATCTTGACCCGGTGCATAGTCAGCACCTGTCCGGTGCACGGTATTTTAGCATTATGCCATCCTTGGATGATTTCTGACGAATTTCCAAAAGGTTTCTTTGATTTTCACTACCCGATTTCGCCCCTACCGGCGGTTGTTGCCTCTCGCTGTTGAGTCGCCCCTTCATTGTGTCCAAGGTTTATCTTTTTCGTGGCCACATTTTGCACCCTTCCAGAAGCAACCAATCTCTGGCCACACCCTGCAATCAGCTCTCTGAGACGTGGTTCTTATAGCTTGCACCGGCTGTGCATACGATACGAGTTTTGAACTCTTCGTCGTCCCCCGGCTATTTTTACGTGCCTTCTCATCACGCCTATAATAGTCGCGATCAAATTACGAGCAATTTGTTGCAGTTTCCCACCCCTTTGGCCAATCTCAAAGATTTCTTCCAACGACAACGCAAAGGTTGACAGCAAATACCTTTCAAACGTAAGAAGTGACATGCTATACGATGGTGACGGTTACTTGGTGATTATTGGAGTGGAGAAATAGGACTCGCAAGAGTGAAAGGGAACAGAAAGCAGTGCGGCAAGAATTCTCTTCGACAAAGGGGGTGGCTAATGGAATCGCCTTTTCAGATTTTTTGAAGGGGAACAACTATACATAGGCGCGACATTCTCTAAAGGCGCAGACGACGCAAGAGAGATCACGAGAGTGAGGACAGCTACAACAGTCACGACCGATGCAGCCAACACAGACAGCAGAAGGAGTGCAGGGAGCACAACCGAGGCAGCCAACTCCTCCAGAACCTTTACCGGCACAACAGTCGAAGTCGATACAGCCGCCCAGAAGACGACGGCAGCACAAGCGCAGCCGCAACGGTTGCTACACCTGCAAGCAGCGGCACATCCGGTGTGACGAGCAGAAGCCTATTTGGTGAGTGACGAATGGACGGGAAATACGTGTGACTATTGTTATTGCACGACTGGGTTTTGCGCCGTGCTTGATGCGTGTCTTGACGCTTGCCACTTGAAATATCATCTGCGTCACTTCACAGTATGTCCTCCGCATGTGCGAAGACGCCACTTCTTGAGTCGTTAAGTTTGGTTGAACGTGGCAATTTCTGTCCCGTTCATCCACCTACTCTGTTGTTTTGCCGTTATGATGGCCTCGATTGTCCCCCTCCTGCCCTTTTAAAGCCACTTCTACCGCTGCACTTATTCTTCTGGTACACCTGTTTCTGCTCCAATATTGTCGTGATCTGTCATTGCCCCAGTTTTTTGTCGTCCAATTGCCTTAATGTCATTGCTCAGTGCATCATCGAAGACATGGATTTGCTGCAAGGCTTCGGAGTTTTGTCGGACTGTATTAGACGGCGTCAGTGATGCACAAAAGATAACCGAACAGAGTCAGAGAGGATCAAAGACGCAGAACTACCGGGCAACAATCTTCACATGAAGAGGAGAAATAAGTGATAGTTACCGGGCTTTGATGCTATTTATATCTTCAGGACAAGTGTCTTGAAGAATGTTATATGAGGCCTGCATATGACGACGGCTTGTGCGCGCAAATCAGGGTCAGATGCCACCATACCAACGACAACCGTTGTGTCATGTTCGACCCCAAGTTCTGCATTGTGCTGGCTGCGTGCAAATAAGCTGCGTTATGTTTTGCCCCTGACGTTTCTTCTAACCATGATTTCTTCTCTCACTTCATATTCCGTGTCTCCCTTCTGATTCAATCGCTGCTAGGCTTATATTATGCGTCTTTCACCGTCTTTCAGATTACCGTATTTTTATATGTCTTCTTCCATTGAAAGCCACTGACCTACTTCAATAGCACAAACTGTCTTGTTCGTGGTGGAGCCTGCGGCTATCCTGTCAAAGCAAACTGTGCAACGTCCTCGGGCAACGGAAAGAACGGCGGGCTTGAAAACTTCCACGGCACGAGTCAAAGCCATGAGAATGACGGTGGGCAATCTACCAACACGACGACAGAAACCACGCAAGACATGAGTTTGTCGGCCCTCACCGCGAAACGTTCGTATAGCAACGACCTTGGAAACGCTGCCAAGGACAACTCTAGCATGATCGAGTTCGAACCTTCTTTTCGAATGCCCTACCACTCCATTCCATCGGCGCTGTTGTCGTACCTGCAAAAGGACCCATTTGACAGTATGCCGATAACAATGCCGTTGCGCTCTATGGAGCTGTTCCATCATAGTACGGTACCGTTCCGTGGGTAACAAAACTATATCATTGTTACATATATCTGACGTTACAGTGATGCACTTTCGAATTTTGACCCGCTCCTTGGTCCCCAAAAACCCAAACAACTCATACAACGCCACGGCGCTCCGGGACGCCGGTTTCTTCCGCAGCAACATTCTCTTGGCCGCTATGCACTATTCTTGGATCAATGGTGGTCTCAGCGGAATGGAGGAGACTTACATCTACCACAAGATCGAGGCGATTCGACTGGTCAATGAGCACATATCAGATCCGGCATGGACTGAACAGTGCGCCAACATTATTGCTGCTCTCGCATTGGCGGAGAGCGGCATTGGTGACATTATCGCAGCCGAAGCACACCTGGGTGGACTATTAACGCTCATCAACTGGCGTAAGCCGGACGAATTACGGGGACGATGGCACGGATTATTCCAGCGGCTGATCCTGGTTGCTAGTACATTTGTTGCTGCATCCAAGAGCCACACGGCCTGGAAGCCCAGAGACACTCGCAGTGGCGACGGCGAGAGGCCGGTCCTGCAGTTTGCATATCCGGACACCGCCAATGTTAACGCTGCCGAGTTTGACGATACACAGCTCTCGCCATTCTACTTCGAGATGAAGCCTAATTATGGGGCTTCCAATCCCGGCCTCGAGACCATCTCAATGACCAATGCATTGCAGAGATTGTCTTCGTTGCCCGATGAACCGAAACAAGCAGAACATGTTTACCCTTCCGGATCACGAAAAGCAACACGCTCGGCTTCTTCCACGCACGCCGATAGGCCTTCTCCAATAAACACGTCCTTGACTGACTTTGCCGAGGAAATCACCGTCGACCAAGAACTTACGCAAGTGCTGCTGCTGGAGACGGAATCCTACTTGACATCGCTTCTATTTCGCCCGCATGCGCCACCATTTGCCATGACGCTAGGGCGGCAGATGTATCAGCCGCCCGAGCGCCTCACGTCAATGAACAGCATTCCGCACAGTCACCCAGAGCTACGTGTGGGCGTCGACGAGCATGTAACAAACACGCTAATGCGATCTCAAGTGGTGATGGATATGGGTGGCGACATGGGACCGTTTCTAACGGATTTTGATCTCGGTCTACTATCCATCACTGGGTTTCAAGACGCTGGTAATGGCAATTTCAGTAGCTATCACGACGTCAACAGTACCAACAGCAATAACACCAGTGGAGGTATAGTATCGATGGTACCCAGTCCAAGCACGAGTCATACCACCGTTTCAACGAACCACTCTTCACATTCAGCCCATGAAGCATACTCGGCAGCAGCAAGTCCGTCGGCCATCAATACGCCCCCACCGGCAGCCGCTTTCCCCCAAGCCGGTCAGCAACCTGCCATCAACGGTTTCTCTTCCAATTTTTCACCCAATACAGGCTATTTTGACGGCGTGCTGCAACCTACTCTACATTCCTCCGCTACGCATTCGTGGTCGGCCGCGGCGTATTTGTACCTACACACATTTTTAGCTGACTTGTGGCTACCTCCTCCGCCATCACGTTGCTTACCCCCGAACTATCCTTCACCGACACAGAGCTACATTGATCGAGAGCTCTGTCGTTGGCTACTTGACAGAATTTGTGACGAATTGGACCGTACTCGCGAGTCTATGAAACTTGGCACGTATAGCTGCGGACTCTGGATCTGGCAAGTCTTGGTCGGGGCATATGCTGTGGCAAATACACGTCGTGAGGATGAGCAGGCGGCACGGGAGAAGAGCGCCGGCTCACAGGCACAGCCGGCTACCGGAGTTGCGAACGATTCAGCCATCAACCCGATACTACTGGACCAAGCCGGTATCGATTTCGAGGGGCAAAAAATACCATCAGCAGCAACGCCGTTTATGTCCCAAAGATTCGCTCCAGCCACTCCGAGCGTAGTGCCGCCCGAGTACTACTTAGGAGCATGGTTCCGCACACAAATGCGCATTTGGGCAGACGCTTTAGACGCACCGCACTGGAACGATGCCAAACGTCATGCCAGCACTGTAGCTTGGCCACAGAAAATATGGCATGGTGATGCTGTGTTGGAGGAGTTATGGTCTCGGTCTATGGCAGGACAAGGTTCACCGTAAGTAGAAAGTAGATGGTTTTAAACGAGTAGTTATACACGACAGATGGATAAAATTGTGCTTTACAATGCAAATAGCAAAACGAAGCACCATTCAGCTTGGCCTCAAGTCCACACTACTCGTCTGCACCGGAAGCAGGAATACCCTCCGTGCCTCGTCCCAGGTCTTCTTTGAGCACTTGGCCATCTCTGGTACGTGGCGCTTCACAACCTTGTAGGCAAAATATCATGCGCGCCCACTCCGTCTTGCTCGGGTTGCGCCATGCGTGCATCGTTGCTCGCTGCACCATGACATCGCCACGCTCCAGTACAGCTGTCTGGCCCGAGTCCAGCTCGCTCACCACCCGACCCTCCAATACAATACCGTAGTCCACAGACACTGTCCTGTGCATCATGCACACATATCCCGGGGCAAAATCCACGTATCTCAACACGGTCCCGCCACCCACAACCAGACCTGTTGCTCCAGGGCCTTGGGCCATGCGCAAATCATGGGCGGCAATATCGCGATCGTCGCTGAGGTCACATGGGAATGACGCCGTGGTCCAGCCGACAGACATTTGCATTTCGCCTTCTTCGTATGTGGCCCACTTCACCGGCCGACGTGAGTGTAACACGGCCGTGCCGTCGTCAGCATGACCAGTAACGAAAACGGTAGGACCTGGAAGATCTTTTGCAAGTTGGTTCTCCGTGGGCGGGCGGATGAGAGGCGGTGAGGATGCTCCATCGGCCATAGTGAGCGAATTGAGAATGTGAATTTCCTCTGCAATTTCGGGTTGGTTGATACTGAGTCTTTGCTTCTCGGTATTAAAATGTTTTGCGTCGCGGAGTGGCTGTCTACAAATCACTCGTGGATAGGAATGTGCCTTTTTATATGCCAACGATCGCTCGATTCACCCCCTCGGATGTCCGGTTCTTCACGAGCGCATTTCTCCTCTTGACTCGTGTGGAAGTACCAGCAATCGGCCCATCGCCGATGCTTTTTCTGTTGTGTGTTTATATACTTATACTGCATACTTTGACGATGTGCGACATTCTCGTACCATTTTTAAGTTACTTTAAATATTGCCGTACGTTGTAGTAGGGGCCCCATTCACGACATACAATCCGCAACTAAGAATTGGTGCAGGGCGGGGTATGTAAACGTAACGCGGACACAGCTCGTTTTGAATAGAAAATCTTCAATTGTACACCATGTGCTGTATCTAGGAAAACAGGCAGTAGATCGTGTTGCCATAGCCACGTGGCAGCTGGATCACGAGAAGATGATATGTGGTACTTGACAAGCGTGGGTTTTACTTGGCGGGCCAATATCCCTGCCCAAGATAAAGTAACGCACAGTGTGTTACATCTCACGAAGTCGAATTTGTATGGTGATCCCAAGTGTGGTGGTAGATCTCATCAACAACTGATGTTCACACAGCCTCCCTTCCTCCGTACGTCAATCTGGTCAGCACAGGGCGGATGAAGTGCTGGCAAAAGAGACTCAACGCGATCAGATGACCATTGTCCAGACCCATTACTCTCAATATCTGTTGTTCTTCTTTTGAGGAGACAATCTTTTTGCTTGCTCGCCCTCATTGGGCCTAATTGTACCTAAATGGCCTTTTATTTTGCTCACAATGCCCGGTACTGGGCTCGCACACACGTGGAAAGGTGTCAGAGAAAGGGGGTCGCTCACGTCAGGGAGAGCTGTGAAGGGTCGCCCTACGTAGAAATGTTCTGGAGGTTCATTTCCTCTTCGTATTGCGGCGAATAGGCTTGACCAGCAGTACAACAGATTATCAAAACACCGAATGGGTGTATTACCACGTTTTTTATTTTTTTTGTTTTTTCTTCATGAAAGCAATAGTAGCCTCTCAAATGTATATGCATGCAGCAGCGTATTGTGTCCCGGTGGGTAAGTGAATAACCCATTTATGCAACTGATCAAGCCTTTTGGGCATCTGCAAGGGGCTGTCATGGCTTATGCTGCAGCCAAGCCCAGCGTATGCCGCGCCTGGAGCGTCCCAACGAAAGGACACGGTAGCGGCCATGCACTGAAACAGAACACACACTACAACATACAAGCGCACCAAATTGGGTGACTCGGCGAGTGGGCGGCAAAGTTGTTCGGGCGCAGTCACAGTGACATTACCTCATAAGCTTGTAAAAATCCTGCCTAGACGACCCAAGGAAGTAACAATAGGCTTGAAACAACCCGCTTATGACGTACGAAAGGACAACTGGTCTCGGCCCTCTTCCATGTACGGATATACATGAGGATTTGCGTCGTTTACAGAGATTTCACGCATGCGACGGTGTCGGGCGGAAAAAGAACGCACAAAGAGAAGGCATCCATCGACTACAGATGACAATCGCTTAACTGCCTAAACGGCATCTACGCCGAGCGTGGCGAATCCGTTCTAGACCAGTCCAGGTGGCCAAGTTATCGGTGGCTTTTCGATCTTATTTTCTTCTTGCTTCTATCTTTGCCAGTTTCGCCTCCTTGGTCAGGGCCCTTTCCGCGAACGGAAAGGGAAATTTATGTGGTCTTGGTGCGTCCTCTGAAATGCGTGATGCAGACAAGTAAACCGTTCGGTCAAGAGGCCCGAACTGAAGGTAGTGTATTAGGCTGGAAACGGAAACCGCTTGCGTTGCTCAAACCCCAGGGGTCGAATGCTGCTCGGATTGGACTTGTTGCATGAGCTGTCTCTGCCACTGTGGTGTTGGATTTACAGAGGTTGTGGTAACCGTATTTGATTCTCAGAGATTGTAGGGTTAAGGGCAGCAAAGCAGCAGCAGGGCGAGGCACTCGCCTTGCAGAAAGCGCGCAAGCTCCGGAATCGAACGATCTCAGAACGCGTGTCAAACGCCAACCTGGGATTATTTTCTGCTTCCCTTTTTGGCCAGAACAAAAAGACGCATGGAGACACTTTGCAGTTTGTATGAGCGATTATGTACATTGTCTTTTGCGTCCATCGCTATCTTTGGCGAGAGCATTCTAGTGGGAAAAAGGAAGATACTTCGATCTCTTTGCTGGAACTGATAGAACATCTTACGCACTACGCTTATCGATGCGTCCTTTATGCAGGCCTTGGCCGCTGTAGACCGGATTTTGGGAGTCTAGGCCGCTGCATTCAGAGCCCAAGATGATCCAATGCAAGTTCCAACGAGCCGCCAAAGCTGACAATCGTTTTGCCGGCATGGTTATGTAACTTGTCTGGCGCAAAGTGCAGATTCTTACAGTAGTGCGCCGGTCTCGCAGCTAGAACAAAGAGACGTGCGAAAACTCTGTACACGCCTGTATTTGACTATGCACACTGTTCGATGCCTGACCAAGTAAGATCTTACGAAGTAAGAACTCCGAACACTGAGCATACATGCACAAAGGCTATCAAGAATCGGCATTTAGTCGGCTAGATGGTGCATCGAGGCTCCCCTGAAGCGATGCTACAACGGACTGCTCTCGATCCCATTAAGGACAAAGAAGCATTCATCCCATCGTCGGTGCCTCTTCCCGATCTGGATGTGGTGTGGACGCCATGTGGTGCGAAGTTTGTGGACAAACCAGAAATCACGCCATTATGAGGCCGTCGTGATGCCTGACGGCTACCGTTCGGGGACTTTCCTGGTGCTGGAAGTTGAGAATCGCAGAATTTTTCTAGTGGCTCATACACCCTTTGTGTAGTGGAGACCCGCGGAACGCGAGACAAAGAGACCAAAGGAAAAAAGAGACCTCTGGGCCACACCTCCGAGATGGAGAGTCCCAAACAAAGAGAAACAAAACGACCTATTTCTGAAGGGTGGCTCACCCCTGTGGCCCGTGCGGGTCAGCATGCAACCAGGTCCACTTTAGGACTAGCGCCAGGCACACAACCAATCACAGCCGGCCACAAGGACATGTCAACGACAAACACCCCGACAGGCACAACAACAAAAACCAGCTCATAAAGAAAAGTTGGACGAAAACAACAACAGTTATGGAAACGGACAGACAGCAAGGGAGAGACTGGCATAAGAGAAATGCAGTATAACAAGGCAACAAAGCCACGAATAGCGACAACAAAAGTCACGGATTCTCCCCTTTGCTGATGCCAACCGGTCTCCACCTGCCCTGATGTGCCCCTTTGAGGACCTGGAGCTAGGAAGCTAGTAAAGGATAGAAGAAGTTGACAGGGATGGACTCCGCTAGGAAGGTGCAGGGGCAGAGGGGGTACCTGTCTAACCTGTCCAGGGGCGACAACCACAAAGCGAAAGGAGCAGGCACACATCGTCCTTAAACCGCAAGGGACCACAAAACGAGTGACTGAAGAAAGAAGAAACGATGCGTGGATAGGTGTATCCGAAGAAGGAAAGGAACGATCGCGAAGGCAAGAGAGGAGGCAAAAGAAAAAGAGAAGAAAAAAAAATCCAGCCCCACTTGTGCCATCCAGCTGCTCCGACGCGCTTTCCGAATGTGCGTAGCATGCAGCGGATCTAGATTCGGTTGTGGTTCATCGTTCCTTCCTTGTTCCCTCCAGATGGTGGCCACCGTACGTCGTACTTAAAGGGACCTGGGCCCGCTTCCCGTGAACTGGGGAAATGGATCTCTTCCACTTTCCTCTCATCCCTTCCTCACCTCACCTTCATCCTCTCTTCGTGCTTTTCGCAACTACACTCATTTTCTTGCCGCATCCGCATATCCAGTGGCCGGCCACTCTCATTCTTACCAACATCAGCAAAACAGCAACAATCAACGACGACTTCTTCGTCCTTGCAGTCTTGACGACTCTTCTTTTCTTTCTCATACAACCAAACACGACCAACGAGTGCCTGTTTCTTTCTCTCATTCTACCTCTGGTTACGGTAGCTTTTATGCTTTCAGCTCTCTCTGTACAACACAGCAACATCTTCTAGCACGACTGTCTCGCCTCGGATCACACGCAGATCCCAACAAGTATCATCAATTCTCAGGAAGTCGACATTCTTTTTGATACCACTTGCACACTTTGTACAACATTCCACATATTTGATCAACATGTTCTCCACCACCAACGCTCTGCTTGCCCTGGCGGCTGCTCGCGCCGCTATTGCCACCGGTGTCTCGGTCACACCCCACGACAGCTACTCGTCGTCGGTTGGCGTTCTCGGCTGCTATATCGATACCAACCGTGTTGCCTACTGGCCCGGATCCGTCGACTGCAACAACCTGTGTGTTAAGGTCACCAACGGCGACCGCTCCGTGCACCTGCTGCGGATCGACCAGTCGGGTGGCGCTCACGACATCAGCTATGACGCCTGGAACTACCTTCAGACTGGCTCGTCGGCCACCGTCGACCCCATTGCCGGCGGCGGTGTTGCTATGGAGTACGAGGATGTCGACGCCTCCGAGTGCGCTTCGCTCATCAAGACTCCCGGTAACAAGCTGCCGCTGTCGGCCTCCAACAGCATGGACTATGTCGCCAGCTGCCTGGCGGACTCGAGCAGCTGGGTCGGCCAGAACCACGTGCTATACAACATTGCCGACCCGCTCTGCTCGCTGGGCTACGACGAGACCTGCACGCTCGACCTTAGCGTGAGCAATCAGCCCAGCTGCCCGCACACTCTGGGCCTGACGACTTCTCTGACCTCCACGCACGTCTACAACATCGAGTATCCCTCGGGCAAGTGCGTTGACGCCTCATCTGGTGACGAGGTCTCGGCCAGCGTGGCCCTGTCTAGCGACAGCGAGTCTGACTCGTCTGCCAGCGGCAGCTCGGGCTCATCGTCTGCTGCCGCTAAGCTCAAGACCGCCGTCGCTGCAGTGTCCTCTTCGTCTGCTGCCGCTTCGACTGTCCCGACCACCTCGTCGCCGGCCGCTGTGGTGCCTCCCACTACCTCTTCTTCTTCTTCGTCTACTGCGGCAACGCAGGTGAACTCGCCTGGTGTCTTTGTTGCCACCAGCCAGTCCGCCGGCAACAGCCAACAGGTAAGCAGTGACAGCAGCCAGTCTGCTTTTTCTTCGGTTCTTTCGCCCTCCTCCTCTTCTTTCTCCATTTCTTCCACCACGACCGATACGATCTCCATGACCGCCACGAGCACCTCGACGGTGCGCTGCAACTCTACGTTCTCCACGATCTCCCCGCTCTTCCCGCTTTCTTCGTCATCCGTGCCCTCTTCGTCCTCGGTGCGGCCCCCCTCCGTGCGGCCCTCCGTGCGACCCTCCGTGTCGTACAATGCGTCGTCCGTACGTGTCCCCGTTCCCTCTTCGTCCTCCCCGTTCTCCATGATCTCTCCGCTCTCTTCGTCGTCCATGCCCTCTTCGTCCTACGCGCGGCCCTCCGTGCGGCCCTCCGTGTCGCACAATGCGTCGTTCGTGCGTGTTCCCGGTCCCTCCTCGTCCTTCCCGCCTTCCGCTGCGTCGTCCGTCGTCCGTGCCCCCATTCCTGTCCCGTCCTCCTCTGCGCCTCCCTCCGCGTCCTCTGCGTCGTCGTCATCTTCGTCCTTGTCCGAGACGCCCCGTCTGACCACGTCACAGACCACCACGTCAAGCAGCAGCACCGCGCCGACCACGACGAGCAACAGCTCGTCAACGTCCGTTGCCGCCGTCTCTTCCGGCTCGTCGGCCGCCGCCGTCTCTTCCAGCTCGGCTGCTGTCGCCGCTCCTTCTATCAAGCAGTCGTCGTCTGCCGCTGCCAAGCCGACCATGAGCACCGCGGAGCCTGCTACAACCTTGTCCAAGACCACGCTGGCTGGCGCCCCCTCGAACACCGCTGCGGTTGTTAGCACGGGCACTGTCCGCCCCTCCACGTCAGCCACGGCCTCATCGGGATCAACGTCACCGTCGACCGTCGTTGTGTCGGGTGCCTCGGCCGGGGTTGCAGGCTCTCTGCGCGCCGCCGCGGCCCTGACGGGTGCCTGGGCTGCATGGATGCTTTTTTAAATGGGACACTATGGGGGAGTTATGACTTGTTTTACATGGTCAAATAACAAAAGAAGGGTTATATTTCCAACTGGCAAATTTCGTGTATATACTTGGAATTTTTTTTTTGCTTTTTTTCACTCTTCTTTCTCTCGTTCATACTTCTTCTTCCACTGCCCGAGCTCTGTACCAACAGGTTCCGAACGGCGCTTCTTTTTAAAAAAATTTTCTTGTCTTTTGGTTGTTTCGTGCAGACCCTGGCCAAGAGAATAGAATGGATTCCATTTTGACACATTTCATGTCCGACAGTATTGCATATGGCCCCACTGATTAGCTAACACAGCAGAGTTGGATGTCATGGTACGTCTATGGCAAAGCAACAACAATAGCACAAAAACTAGAGCACAATGAAGGCTGTTTATTGGATAGCAGGGATTATTTTCATCAACAGTCGCGTACCGCCTGACACCACTCAAACACTCCGGGAGCGTGCGGCACAGCTGTACGCCGACTCAACGTCCTTCCCTTGACATTCCGTGTCTCGTACGCCCGCTGTTCCCGATCTCAACCACGTCTCTGTGGCGCTCGAAGGACACTGCCGATACAACAAACCGGCCATACTCTTTTCCCGGCCATTTTTGCAGACCTCGTCACAGAGCTTGCCACCGGCTCCAAAATCACTTTACCGCCATGTTTTTGATTGTGCCACCGAGCACTGGTCCAAGGACTGGCCCGTCACGCATACCGCTGACATACTGCCTATGTTTTTTCAACGTGACCTGCGCTGTTCAGACCCCCGTGTGTCAGAGTGTTTTGCGGACCAGCTGCTACAGTTTGCGGCAGGTACAACACCAAACCGATTGGTGGCCTACACGGCTGAGACTCCGTTGCTCAACACACTTGATCAAACCGGCGACTGGTCCGTCGCCAGCGAGGTAGATGGGGCTTTAGACCTGACTAACGATCGTTTGCAGTTCTGGGCGGACGTGTTGAGGGCCATTTTGGCAACAGGACGTGTCGGTTGGATCGAGATGGCAAGAATGGAGATATTTGCAGGAGCGTAAATTGATGAAGCCGCTACATCAGCAGTTTGAAGCGGTTGTAGGCATTGTGTGTATATTTTCTTGACTGGGTCCATTTATGGCCACAGTCTGGTGTGAAGTAACGTCCTTTTGAGTAAAGTCTTGTTCTCGATGGCAACGATTCATTAGGCCACTACGTAGTTGGCGTAGAGTTACTTTGATGTTCATGTGACGGTGATTTCACAGTTTTGGTTACAAGAGCTTGGGATTGCACCGCCTAGTGTGCAATGCCGCGGTGAACCACCGGCACAACCAGGTGGAGCACCTGAAAATCCGCACGAGCATACTATCCATGTCTTTGAGCAGAGGATATCAGCATTTGAAAGAGGAAGAAGCCTTGCAAATATTCAAATAAAGTAAAATACCAAGGATATTATTCAGTGAGCTTAAAATGCAAAATTTTCGTAATCATCAAGGATGTTGCCTACACTCAATAACTCAAACATTGGCGAGTTGACGTCGAGAGATGACGGCAAGCCCATGCCTGCTGCGTCACTTGTGGGCGCACCGGTCCTGGTGTTATCATGGCCTCTATCGTCAACGGACTGAAGCAGAGGATCCGGGGGAAAGAAACGCCCCAGGTCAGACGAGAGGCGCTGGTCAGACACTGGACTCGGCAAAGGCACTTGCACACTTGGATCTAGCGACGTTGGGTGCACCAGGCCAAGTACTTTTTGCTCCGGTATATTAGGCTGACGCTCGGGACCACTCGGAGCAAGGAAGTACTCCTCAGCAGGAAGGAGAGTAGCATTTTGCGTGAGGGGCCCACCTCCGAATTCAACCTCATTCTCTTCTCCCTCTCGTGCCACAGCAGACGCCTGTTTCTGTTCCATGCGCAACCGACAGGCATTGACCACACCCTGAACACCCTTGAGCTTCACCGCCAGAGCCTTCGTTATGGGCGACTGCACCGACAGGCGTTCCACAAGCGCCAGAGCATCCATGACGTCAGGCAGAAAGGACAAAAAGGCTGTACTCTTTGCTGTGCCTGCGCATAAAAGTAGAGATGTCAGGGCAGTCTCAAGAAAGTGGTTAAACGTTTTGTGCTGGGCGTGGTATATGTCGGTATCGCGTGCCAGTGTAACAAGAATGCGGATGGTGTCCTGGGCAATCAGGGCGAGTGTATTGGCACTGGCGGGGTCGAATGTAGTCGTGGTGGCCGTTCTAGATGACAATGCAGCCAATCCTGACTTGCGGTGGATGACCGTGCGCATTTGACTGCCGCGAAGATATAGAATGAGACGAAGTCGATACTCACCACGACATTCACGGCTTGAATCAAATGTATCACGCACGCCATGAAACACAAGCGTAGACGGCAGGTTTTTCTGCCACTGAACAACGCGGAAATCGAGAAAGTCGCGCGTGGCGGTCAACGCGAAGGGTGCCGGTGGTGCCGCAGGCAGCAAAATGAGTTTGCGTACCTCGGACGAGATGCGGCAGTAGTCGACCATGCTTTTTAGGTAGGCAGTGGAAATGGATGTGTCGGAAAAGTGTGGCCAGTGCTGGATATCGGAGTCCCGAACGGCAAACGGCAGCCCAGTCGAAAAGCTGAAACGACGCTCCATAGTGAAGGCAGACCAATACAGCCGGTCATCTCCGGCTGCAGCTGACGAGGCAGTCGCGGACACCTCTGGATCGTCGTAGTTTTGCAGAACGCGTTCCTCTTGCAAGAGGCGCATAACGCCGCTAATGACACGCCATGCCAGTACTTCTCTGCCACTGATATAAAAGTAACTCGCAGCCACAGTCATTAAAGAGACATCGTCCCGGTCGACGTCAGCAAGGTGCGTCCGGATCAAGACGTCGCGGTAGATGACCTCCGCAAGGGGGTTCGCGGTTGATACAAGCGTGGGGTCTACAAGAATGGCTACCGCCACAAGGAGGAGAATGGCCGTGTCTTCCACATGTCTGCGATGATTGGTGTTGGGTGTCCCGGCCGTCGCAGAGTAGCCCGATGTCGGGCTGGTGTCGTTCTGGCCTGGAGTCTGGCTCTCACGAAACGCACCCACGATGTCGAGAGCCAGTGTTTCGGTGTCGAGAAATGGGTATTGCAAGCCGACCTCTTCGGCCCAGACTTGCAGGATGCTTTTCCAATGGTCGAGGCTGAAAGCAGCTAAGGCTGCACCGGGACAATCGCGCTGCCGCGCCTCCGACAATATCTGTATTGTGCGCTCTCCTATGACGGGTGTCTGGCTTTCTGGTGGTGACGAGACAGCCTCGTCGGGATTCAATGCGTTTAGGCGCTTTTCTGCCAGGCGTAGATAGTAGTCGATGCTTGTGGGCCGCAGCTGGAAAGCGGCACCAGGTTCTGTCATTTCAGACACAGATGTGCTGGACCAGTTGCCGGTCGATGCTGGTTGGTTGGTATTGGAAGATTGATGGCATTTATAGCGGCGCTCTTTTGCTGCAGTGTCCGCGCCTTGTCTGTTTTGGTTCTGGAAGCGCGTGGCACGCTCGTAGGCGCACGAAACACCCATGCGCCTGCATCCACGACATGGCCGTTCGCCGGTACATTTTGTCTTTCTCTGTTTGCAGGACCTTCAGGAAAGCTGTCAGTGCAATGGACAACGGTTATTGATTGAATGCCGTTAATAGGTGGCTAAAAATGGAACGGCACAAGGGACATACACGCTGTGAAGTCAATATGTTAGCGAATGGGAAAGGCGGAATAGCAAGCAGAGGCGCGTTTGTACCAACCAAGCTACTGTTGTGTAGGGCGTACGTCGCTTCCGGAGGTTGGGCATGGCGAAATTGGATGACGAGGAGGCCAAGACGAAGGCAAGAAAGTGGTGGTGGCAGAACCGACATGGACGAATTTTTGATGGTGACGATGTGCCAATTTTACGATGAGTTATGCATTGTACGGAGATGGGCGCAAAGTTTAGCGTTGTGACCGATGGCTTTCGCCTAATACAGTGAAAGAGCCGGGGTGAATTGCCGGCAAGTGCGGAGACGGGTAAGGTAAGTAAGCAACAGCACAAGGAGTGGTAGGAGTTGGCGTATACTTACGTCAGGAGGCAATAAAAGTCGCCACACATCGGCGTTCGCTAATACGCCGTGCGTCTTAGGAGCCATGCTCCCCCTGGACAAAAAAAAGCGCACTCACTAAAAATTTTCATGTTTTCTTACAATCACAACATTCAAGCCAACACTCGAATATGGCTAAAATACACGTCAAAACGCCCCAAAAGAACCGTATTATCGGTGCTTGTACGTTAAATGGGATAAAGCGCAACCCTTCGTTTTATATGGACATTTTTCGTCAATTCAACGTATCGAAATCGACAGGTTGGAAGATTTTACGAGAAAATCGCCAACGCACCTTTCACTACGAAGAAAAGGAGACACGCGGCCGTACGAAGAAAATTACCGATGAACAACTAGATATTTTGGAAAGTTTTATCGAAAAAAATGGTTATGACTCTCGTATATTACATTGGCAACAACTTCTCGATGAGGCCGGGCTTGATCTCGACGTTTCTTCACGAACTATTCGTCGTCGATTAAAAGAGAGAAAATTCGCTCGATGTCAAACTTATGAAAAGAAATACGTGTTACTACGACTCGCCGAAAGACGTCAATCTTGGGCGCAAACTATGTTTGAGCGATACCCAGAACCCGAAGATTGGCACCATGTCCGTTTTTCTGACGAGACACACTTCTCTTAGGGACCACAAGGTAAAGTTTATATTCTTCGTCGACCTTAGGAGAGATTTTGTAGTGACTGTATTGTCGAAAGACGAGAGCCCCCCGAAAAAGCTTACAAACGACTTCATTGTTAGGCGGCAATTAGTCACGATTTCAAAAGTCCTCTCGTCTAGTATAATGTACCAGGAAATAACAACGGTAAAATGACACTTCAAGTTTACCGCGACCAAATCCTCGAGCCAGTAGTTGGTCAGTGGATTCGTGATGGCCAGTCGTTCGTCCTCGAGGAAGATAACGACTCTGGACATGGTACCGGTAAAGTAAACATCGTTAGGACATGGAAACGGAAAAACGGCCTGAATTCGTACTTTAATTGTGCGCAAAGCCCGGACTTGGCGCCTATTAAAAGGGCCTGGGCATGGCCGAAGCGGAAAGTCGTGTCCCAGAGTGTCTGGGATGACGAGAGTCTACAAACGCTGGCAGAGGAGGGCTGGGCCGAATTAAAACAGTCTACGATAAACGGCTGGATTGACAAGTTTCCAGAGATACTTAAACAAGTGGCCGAAGACGACGAATTGGCTGGTAAAATGTCAGGTTTTTGACGAATTTTGCCCGTTTGTAATGTACTGGTAGGAATTTTATTTAGTGAGTGCGCTTTTTTTTGTCCAGGGGGAGCCATGCTAAACCACGCAAACAAAATACCATAGCCAAATGTTGAATTTGTTGCACCTTACATAACCCAATCCTTCCCAGGTTCTGTACAACACCATGGATGCTCTTTTCTTCCTTCCTCCCCTGACCCTGCTGGGACGGCTGCCCAAAACGACGCTCAGCTCGCCCCAGTTGTACAGGTTCTGTACCTTCTAGCATTTCAGCAGCGACCGCTCAGTCACGGCCAGAATCAGTGAGCTCTCATCATGAAAGCCATGGCCTCATGTTCATCTCATTGCGGCGCCGGCTCTGCTTTGGTTGCCTGCTGAAAAACTGCTAGCAACAGGTCCATGGCCACCTTTAATATATTGTGGAGCGACGAACCGCCTGGCAGAAGCTCTCTTGCAACCGCCTTGACATCATAACTGCTAAAAATGAGTCCCATGTATTCTGACATGGCGTTACGATGATACCGCGGTGGCCGGAACGTGCCTTCGGCCATCAGCCAGCGAGGCGGGAAGATAACAAAATCTGCAACGGCTGTGCTGACGACGGGATTTTAAAGCTTGTGTGATCGGTGTTTTCGTTCTGGAGCTCGATGTTTCGAGCCGCTGACTGCAAGCGACTTCCTTGTTGCTGGGAAGACGAAGGTTGTGCCACACCAAGCTATATATATTCATTGTCGTGTTTTATAATAAAGTGAATGTACTGTTCGCCGGTTGTCGCGGATAATATGAATTAAATTTAACAAACTTACCAGGTTCCACCAATTAATTGACACATTAGGTCCCTTATTTATTGTTAACGTGCTTGAATTGTTAGTATTTTGTTCTCTGCTTTGCATCTAACGAGCGCCTCTCATGTTCAAAGGGTACCTGCATCCCACCTTTTACAGTAGCTTCTGTTTCTGCCATAATTCACTTGCGTTCATTTAGAAGTGATCTATCTGTGGCTGAAATACCTAATTATATTACGGAGTTATGGTAAATGCATGTGCCTTTGTATCATTAAGTCCCTTGTATTTATCAAGTTGATATACCGTTTTCTAACCGCTATTCCCTTCCTTCTCGGCTTCTAGTTTGCCGATTTCCTCGCGCATCCAGGCAATCCGCTCGGCCCGTGTCATTTCGTCCTTACGCGCCCAAAAGTCGGCATACTTCTCGATGATTTGCTTGTCGGCGCGGTCCCGGGACTTTTGTTCTTCTGTACGCGTCAATGTTTTTATGAACTCGTCAACAAAGGCAGTCGGTAGATGCAAGTAGACGGACTTTCCGTCTATAGGTACAAACCCGTCGGTGCGAACTTGGCAAATCCCTACCAAGTGACACTAGGCGTCACCTGGAACCAGGCAGTACACAACGTTCGTTGGGCGCTGGAGAGCAGACCTTGAGCCTGGAGGCCGATTTACCGCATTCGATGGAGTCACCGTGGCATTGATGGTTCTAGGCAAAAACGTTAAGTCGAGGGCTTTTTGGACTTGCTGCGCCGTTTGGAATATACTGTCTGGTCCAAGGCTGATGGGGATTTTCGCATCGCTGTCGGGGAGGCCAAGTCTACTGATCAGTCCAGCCTCCACCCATGCATCTGGGCCCCATGGGTCGTACGTGCCTGCTCTTTGGGGCGCCATCCTGGTGTTTTGTCGCGGACCTATAGAAAGCAATGAGTTAGCAGACTTTATTTTTTTTTTTTGCTTTGCATAGATTTTGGAGACGAAGAGTACGATGTAGGGAGTTCCACAGGAAATGTATTGAAAACGAGCGTACCGAAAATGTCATGAGAACGTTGCGCGAATACAAAACAATGGCGAAAGAGAACAGACTCGTCGCGATGGCGACAGTGCAAGCGATGGAACTGATAAGAGATGTCAGAGATCTTGAGAATTGGTGTTGTGCTTGGTTCTGGAGGATGGTGAGTGCGAGAAGAGAAGTAAGGGGAAAAGGGATGAGACGAGGAGGGGAGAGTTGCGAAGGAAGATGGAGCATAATAAACTGTTTGCTTGGTGGCGATTTCATTTTTCGCCCTTTCCCCGCGAACCTTAATTGTACGCATTGAGTCTCTGTATTCTGTAAGTCGAAGGTCATAGAGCTAGCGTGCAAGATCTCACTGGACCTTTTTAGGCCCAAAGCAGCCAATGAGGACCCGCCCAGTACTTAGTCAGGACGTTGTACGACCTCACTAAAACGGTAAGATACATGTGTGAGAAGTACATAGTTTGCGCTAGCTTTCTAGGCAGGCACAAAGTATAACTAACTCACTTGTGATTGTTTGACTGAATACTCTTTAGACCTACCGGGCCAGCGTGCTTTAGACGTGAATTGGCTTGCATTACAGACCAGTGAACAGTTATTTTGACCGAGACGCAGATTCATATTCATTCAATCTCTTGTACATAGGAAAATGATATCCTATTGTGAACAAGTGCTGTTTGGCCTTTACGAAGCCAGGAGACTAGCACAACAATAGTTTGCAGTGCATTGACAGGAAATCTACCCATTGACGGCCTTTTGGTCTGTACTTTGTTTTGTACGGACCATGCGTAGGATTCCTGGCAAGGAAATGAATCAGATCTGAGACTCGCAAACAAAAGACTAATCGCGGCCATTGAATCACCGCCCTTTGCTATTCTATGAGCTTTATGAATGTTATTTTGCTGTATAGCATCTTTGAACATATTGTGCTGTCTACGAACATCTCCGGTGCCTTGACCAAAAAAAAAAAAAAGTCCTTACTGTCCAGTGCAGCTTGTCCTAGATGCGGTGAATGTAGTCGATGGTGTCCGTATCTGTGTCTGTTAATTGGCGTCGTTATAGAAGACACTTTGTAGTAAATGTAGGTTGTTTGTCCTAAATGGCCCATAATGCCACGGATGGAACATCGAAATCACGACAATGTTAACGTAGGAAAGAAAACGAAGAAAGGACTACGAATAAGATAATAAGCGAACCGGACATTCACTGAAACAACAGATACTGGCCCGTCCTTATGTGCAAGCTTATCGTCCTGCTCTCCAAGCTTTCTTTTGTCTGAAGCTGTGCCATTCGATTTTCATTCTCTCCCCAGCTACAGCTTGTTGTCAACCCATCTCTTGTTTATCATGCTAGTCTTTTTTTTTTATACAGTCCGACAACAAATTTTGCACACCTACACACCAGCGGCCCCGTATCGAGGAGTGAAATTGTACCTACACCATAGCTTCGGCGCACGAAGTATACCACTTCACGTTTGGCGTAGAGCTCGAGCTCTACTTGCGACCGAAGAACACGACCCAAATTGATGCAGCCAAGGAAGCTGTTGGCTAGGGCGGGGACAGTCAACGCAAGGGCCACTACCGCGACAAGATTCAGGGCCTTGTCCACCAAAGCTTGACCACCCATATGTTTGAATGTGTGTTTAGGATAAGCAAAGACTACGAAAACTGGAGCGTCACGGAGTATGGATCTCTTGTGAGAGGTGAGCCAGACGCTTACTGTAAGTTAAGGACAGGGCAACAGAGGTTTACGGTTGATAGTGAGCTGATCCTAACAATGTTACCTTGCTTCATAGCTGGCTTTGAATTGGTTCCTGAAGTCATGAGCACTGAGACACCTTGGGCACCCGTCATATTCAAAATCTACAGCATTCTTGGCAGCCACTTCGACACTGCCACAAGCCAACTAAGCGGCACACTTGTGCACGTGAGGCCGCACAACGTCGACGGGGATGTGTGGAAGGTTGACGAGGTGCGGGCAATTCTCAAGGACATATGCGTCCTTGATCAGCCCTTCACAGCAATGTTGCCCCCAAGCCGTCGTGACAACTATTATACACGGTGTTTTCTCTCCAACCAAAACGGCAAAGTAAACAAGCTGTGCCGATTTGTCGACGACGTCCGCAATGGAAGACCCGAGCAGCTCTTCGGCCTTTTGGATCAACTCGAGACAACAACGGAAGCTGGAAAGCTGTTCGAAGACAGGTTTTACTACCTCAATCTTAAGGCACTGCCAGGTGGCACAATCGAGTTTCGATTCCCGCCGCCTGCAGAGACGGCTAAAAAGGCCTCTCATTATATTCTATGGGTCCTTTCGTTCGCACGGGGCTGCATCATGAAAGTGGAACGCGGGTTCGGGCCCAACATCCGCGGCAAGAAAAACGTGCACCACCTCATGGAGCTCGTCATTGCTGGGCATCGACTTCTGCCGGCGTCTGCCAAAACGTCTGTCAAATTTTTGGAGCCGGCTCTTTATGGGCACAACGACCCGCCTGTACTTTCCCTGACGGACAGAGAGAAACGCGAGCTTGCAAAGATCAAGCGCGAGAAGGATGCGCTCTTTGCATCTGGAGGCGGCATAAGACGGTAGAGAATATTTAATTTTGATGGTCTTGTCTTTACGTATTACAGCGATGGACAGAATATATAGGCACCAGCAGAATATAATTTTACGTGAGAATTTGCGATACGCGTTGAAGTGTCAAGCTTTATAAGACGGCTGTGGTTTACGGTAGCGCCATGATGTACGTGTTTACTTGTCAAAATACCGACACCGAAAAAGGCATTTTTTGGTAGCATTAGTTGGGTTCATAAGGTTATCAATTCTAGCGATAAATATAAGAAGTGAAAGAAGAGGAGAAAGGAAACAAACCGTACTTATCGCGTTAAACACCCCTCTTTCGTGGGTCCACCTGTGGACTTCCGATCAGAGCACCGCCACTTAGTTGAACGTACGGACTTCTGATTAGACGTCTGTTGGTCTGGCCGCTGTCCCAGTTTACGTGTTACTTAGTGACTCTCGGGCCTTTCAGCCTGTTGCAGTTGTGTTGTTTTACTAAGCCGTGTTATAACGTGGTGTAATTTTAGGCTTCGGTAAAGTGAGGCCATGTGTAATAGTGATTCTTTAATGTGTAGTTAATTTTACAACCAGGTTTTTATTTTACTGTATTTTTAACTAGATATAAGTTTTTAATTTGGAAGTAAGAGAGTCTATTCCTACTATATAACACAAACGTAGAGTTAGATACACCACTGGGGGGAGGTTACAGGGTACAGGTAGGTGTATAGAAAAAATTTCTAGTATGGTGTATGGGATGTGGTCTTTGTGTAGTTACAACGACGGAACTTGATGGCACTGACCATGAGTACCTTAGCGTATTCTTTAATTACTTCTGTCATGCTCATACTGATGTAAACTGTGAAAAAAACTCCCATGTGTTGCCAGGTGCAAACGGAGTCGACGACCCGGGGTCGGTCTCAGATGGATTGTGATCTCCTTTGTGTATCACCCAAGTAACTGGGTATCCCTGTTTGCAACCTTGGTACACGGTTTTGACCGACTTTCCGTTGTTAGGCATCGGCTCGGGCGAAACGGGTGTGCAGCCGTTGTTTTTGACAAAATGATCGCGCAGGGACCTTCCCATCGAGGTTTGCAGCACCGAGTCGGACGTGCCGTGTTGACCGTAGTACGGCACTGGATCAGTTCCGCCGGAGCAGCCGCTGAGCTGAGCGCCGGACAGGATCGCAACGGCGCGAACCACTTGAGGGCGGGCGCAGGCGATCGCATACGACATGGCGGCACCATAGCTAAATCCAGTCGAAAAGCGCAGCGTGGTGTCGACGCAGAGGTCGGCTTCCACCGCCTTAACCATCTGATCGAAGAAGGTAAGGTCCTCCCCACCCGAGTTGGCCCAGCCGTTGTTGAGGCCGTTGGGCACAACGAAGATGGCGCTGTTGTTGGCTAGCGGAGGAAGCCCGTAGTAAGGAAGCGCGCCGCCATGGTGTATGTCTTCACCCTGTACGATCTTGGTTGCGCTGCCGCCTCGCGGGTGCCATGTAAAGATAAGACGGTAAGGACGGTTCTTGTCGTAGTGATCGGGAAGCTTCATGATGTACTCCCGCTGCTTGCCGTTCACAGTCATCGTGTACTGTTTATTGGTCATAGTCGGGTCCTTTCCACAGCCGGCGGACTTGTCAGCCAGGGCGGCGCCCAGCAACGACAGCCCCAGGAGAACCACCGCCCCGATAAATCTTATTTGTACCTGCATTTCGAAGATATATGTTTGTTTGGGTGATCATAGGTTTCAGAGGATGCCGCATCGATGATGATGTTAACTGTGGAAAACCTGGCGTTACGATCCTAGATATATACTTTTGACTTGTCATTGTCATCTACCGAGATCAGATACCGAGACAAAGGGCACGAAGAACTGTAGAACGACAATCTGCCGGGAAAATAGGTAATATGAAGCCAAGACAAAGAATATTGTAAAATCATCCCCGCCGTACAGCAGTGACTTTGACAGTGACCGGACTTTATGGACATATTCGCAAAATGCAGTAAATGTAAATCGAAGGCCTCCATGACTGGCCATACAAGAGAGTTTCTTCTCGCAATTTATAATGATAAGGCGATCTTAAACTACCGCGGCTGATATACCATCGCCTAAATATGTGCACTTAATAAGAGTGAGTCGGAGAATTGTTGAGAGGGATCGTCGTTATTAAACTTGCGGGGATTTACAGGAACCATTCCCGTGTTTCGCAGTTCACCGTCGTAGCCTTTCGCCCCGCTGGTTCGAGCTTATTGCCTTACAGGCTGCCGCGAAGACACAAATTAGCCAGAATGGCAGGAGAGCTCGGCAACAGCGAACGCTCGCACATCCTAGTAAATATGGGAGACCTTGGCGCCGCTTCTCCAAGAAGGGCTGGGAAGTATTAACCAGCTGAGTAGGGCAGGTGTAGATTGCCGAGAAGGCAAACATCAACAAATCTTAATCGAATACGCACTTTAGTCATTTCTTGTTACCCACGTCGTTGACCTTTATTTGTAAGAGTTCAGCATCCTTTGCTTTCGGTGTCACATCATGCACACACTTTAAAGTGCAAACGTCCGCGTCGCCTCCCTCGCTGCCCTTCTTTCTTCTAAATAGGGTTTGGGTCCTCTACCTTCGGTGTAGGAGGCATCCCATACGTCATGTGGGTCGTTGACTGCGTAGACTCCCCCTGCTTCAAGCCTTCATTCATAAGTATGATAGAGATCAGGCAGCGACTGCCATTCATGCCAAGCGAGGAGGGCGTAGAGTCGATCTATTACACCATAAATCCATTCTAATAGTTCACGTAAATTATTACGGGGACCGAATATTGGTGACTTAGGCGAGGTGCCTTTACCCCGCGACCATATGCTTAAAGTGCCGAGCATTCTCAAATCGAACCCCGTCGCATGCGATTTACCCATATCGGCTTCATATTCTACACACGAGCTCGTTTCTTCACATACCAGTTACAATGGCTGAACAAGACCCGGTGTCACACGCGACTCGCTCTCTTTTGGCGGCTTTTGGCTTTATGGCTACGCGCAATTACCCGTATGTATACAGTTCAACGATACTCAGTATCAAACATCAATAAAACAACACACGTACACAATATGATACGGACAGGGGATGGTAATGCACATTTGGCAAGTTTTGAGGTCATTTCTGTTCGGAACTTAGCCTAGACAGAAGACAGCGGGACAAGTCCCGTTTAAATGATTGTTCTTTCGCCAGACTCTTCATTCCTCTGCAACTCCATCCGGCCATGCTGGCAGGATACACCCCCGACACTCGCCGAATCCAAGGCGTTGACCATTTGAATTTTCACACCAGCCACGCAAGACGACCTCATCGCCGTCCTCCAGAAACTTTCTTTCCACCCCGCCAACATCCATAATTTTGGAACCACCAGCCGTCAACTCCAACAGGCTGCCTTGCGTCCCGTCGTCAGGTCCGCTGATGGTACCGGATCCCAAAAGGTCCCCCACATTCAGCGGACAGCCACCAACGGTGTGGTGGGCTAACATTTGAGAAAAGGACCAGAGGAGGTGACGGCCATTGGAACGGCTAACGACAGACGGCGAATTGAATCCTGAAGGTTGTAGATCAACCTCTAGGTTGATGTCGAACACGGGTTTAGCACTACCGTCCGCAGGTTTCAAGTATGCCTGCAGCTCACTTGTGTTCTCGATACCGTCTGTGCGGAACGGCTCAAGCGCGTCAGCGAGTACAACCCAGGCACTAATAGTCGAGGCAAAGTTCTTTGCATTGAATGGGCCGAGCGGGACGTACTCCCAAGCCTGAATGTCGCGGGCTGACCAGTCGTTGAGTAGAACATAACCAAAAAGGTGGCTCTCGGCCTTGACGAGTGGGACGGGCGCACCCAAACGGTTGGGCTTGCACACAAATGCACCAAGTTCCAACTCAATGTCGAGGCGCTTACTTGGGCGGTAGACGGGTGTCTTCTTGTCGGCATCCAGGATCTGTCCCCATGGCCGGCGAACAGGCGTTCCCGAGACGACAACCGACGAGGCGCGGCCGTGGTAGCCAACGGGAAGATGAGTGTAGTTGGGCTGCAGTGCATTGGCTGGACCGCGGAAGAGCACACCAACGTTGAACGCATGATGTTTGCCGACATAAAAGTCCGTATAGTCGCCAATCTGCATTGGGAGGTGGTTTCTCACGGACGCCAGCGGGACGAGACAGGCGCTCCGTAGATGTGCGTTGTCTTGCAAGCGCTCACGGAAAGGGCCGTCTTTCACAAACACGTCATGGAGGTAGCTGCGGACAATTTTATGCAATGGCCGGCCGAGCGCCGCAAAAGAGTTGAGCGTGGACTCGTCAAACACATGCAAGTATGGCTGGATGTCTGGCAGCCCAGAAAAGCCATCGTATTCGGAGAACACGACGAGGTCGAGAGCTTGGTCACCCACAGCGACGGCGACGCGGGGCGTTGATGCACCAGAATACGTGACGATGCCAAAGGGGATGTTGATCAGTGAAAAGTCGCTCCCAGAGGGAATGTTCAGCCAAGATTCGGCGATTGTTGAGGAAAGCATAGCGCCCTTTTGATTAAAACCGGAGTGCATTGATTCTGAGGATAGGATCGAACAGGGAAGCAAAACTAAATCTTGACAACCATTGAAGCAAAACGTCCAAAGCGTTGCAATTGAGTAGCGCCTCCTGAATAGGGAGACCGGACGGAAGATTGTTGAGATTTGGATTCGAATTCGGTATTTGCGTCGAGTACATTCGTACTTCGTAAGTATTAGGTGTGTGGCTTTAGTAACCCGACCTGTGGAGACGCCGCATAACCGATGGAAGCCGTGTAAGTTAGCGGAACAGCATCTGCGTACAAAACATTCCGCAACTTCCGTCTCCGCACAATGCGGGGTTCCGCAGCAAGGAGCGATCCACAGCAGCTGGGGAAGGCGAGACTAGCCGTCGGTCAGCAGGCTTAGTGGCCTGCGGCACTGGTCATTGTGCGCTGCAAAAGGCAACTGCGATTTATTCTTTCCAGAAGTCAGTCACATGCAAGATGGATAGTAGA